TTAGGCCATCGCCTAGGGCTCTACTGTCTATTGCGGCGTGGAGTTGATCGAACTCAAAGAGCGGGAACCATCATGGGGTGTTCTATTGATATTGCCGGGGTACGTACTGTGTGATATGAAAGGAACATTGCGTGTGTGGGACGGGCTGGGGGTTGAAACAAAACTGCACCTGAATTTTAGTCTACAAATGCAGACACGGGAATAAAATGTTTGTTGAATAATGGGCTAATTAAATCAATGTTGTTTCGCAACTAATTAGAGAAAACAAAGATATGAATCGTATGTTAATCAGTGGGCGGTATTGTTTTAGTTAGTTGGTGTACGGTTTTTTAAACAGCTGCACTTGTCCCACTAAAACGTGGTGCTTGCCGGTAAACACCTTGACAGCGGTATTTAACGATAATCACCTTGACAGCAGTACTCTATTGTAATCACATTGACAACTGCACTCACAGATAATCACCTTGACAACAGTACTCTATGTTAATCACCTTGATAGAAGTACTCTATTGTAATCACCTTGATAACAGTACTTGCTGGTAAATTGTTTCTTTTTCCTTCATGGCGTATCTAGATCGTTTTATGAATAAATTAGCATCTATTTAAATTTACACTTCCGTGTTTTTAACCCGTTGTTGCTGATTACCTTGTTCACTAATTAACAACCATTTAAATAGAACTTATTGTTTGCATTGGCTTTTGATGCTAATCTTTTAATTACCTAGTAATTGCGGTTTGAATTATGTACCAAGAGAAAAGGAACTAGCTAGACGTTAATTCAATGGAGCCGCCCCTCAACATACAACTCCGGAATAGAAACCCTACCACGTCTGTCAAACAAACACACCACTGCTTTCCCCTACCCACTTAATGCTAATAACATTGCAATTGAAACTTGAAACCAAATAGAAATAGCCATTATCGTATAGAGCTACACATGTCATTTAAATGAATAGCCGTGTTTAATATTTAACGTCTATTTCTAAAGCGTGTAATCAATATTCTATATTTTAGTTTAACTAGCAATACATTGATTATCTAAATTACTGGGCATATACACTCCTTATATTTGTTTTTTTTCTCAGATCCATGTGGTCGATAAAAACATGTAGCGCTATTGTAAATAGCAGTTATCCCCCTTTATGGCAAGTCAAAGTTATCCCCCTTCACGCATTTCGTACATTTTGTCTACGTCCATATCTATGTAAGTCCGACTCTCCCTATCATATTTTTTAGACACATCAGATCTATTTTAATGTAGATTCACGTTCACTGACCGTTTCATAATTGATTATTAATCTCACACCCGATTATGCTAATTGTAATAATGAGTCGTAATATAGCACAGTTAAAAATGTAGCGTGAAATAAGAACCAATCAATACTGATCAAATTGACACAACGATCGTTCGGATTACTGTCTGTCTATTGGACCGACGTGTTTTTACATTGAACCCACGCGAAAAAAAAATCTTTGAGTTAATGACCGCAGAACTCGCTAAATCAATCAATTCTAATCGATCATTTACACAGTACTAATCACTTATCGAACGGGTTGCTAGGAAAATAAAAATCACTCAGTAGGCTTTTGTTTGTGTTGAAACAAAAGATTCTTGAATAGGACGTTATAAATAAGTAGACTAAGTTGAACTAAAGAATAGCAGAGCACTTGGGTACTATTACAATTAAATAGAATCCTTTGTTTCGGCTCATACTTGACATACTTTGAAATTGATTAGAATTTCAACGCCATAGTAAAAATAGTTTACTTGATTTTTATTCTTAGGCATTTAACTTCAGAAATACAATTAGGAAGGAAGAAGCTTACAAAATAATTTGGTCTAAATTGTTTTTTTTAAACAAAACATGTTTTTAAGGAAGTATACGAAACATACATGTGACTGAGTAACTTTATGCTCATTATATTTGCAACTAGGTGTCATTGTTCATTCTAGTAAGCGTGCTAAACATGTTTGTAGTTAAGTGTCCTTGTACTAAACATGTTTGTACTCAGTCATTGTACTAAACATGTTTGTAGCTAAGTGTCCTTGTACTAAACATGTTTGTAGCTAAGTGTCCTTGTACTAAACATGTTTGTACTCAGTCATTGTACTAAACATGTTTGTAGTTAAGTGTCCTTGTACTGAACATGTTTGTAACTAAGCGTCATTGTACTAAAATGTTTGTAGCTAAGTGTCCTTGTACTAAACATGTTTGTAGCTAAGTGTCCTTGTGCTAAACATGTTTGTAGCTAAGTGTCATTGTACTAAACATGTTTGTAGTTAAGTGTCCTTGTACTAAACATGTTTGTAGCTAAGTGTCCTTGTACTAAACACGTTTGTAGCTAAGTGTCATTGTACTAAACATGTTTGTAGTTAAGTGTCCTTGTACTAAACATGTTTGTAGCTAAGTGTCCTTGTACTAAACACGTTTGTAGCTAAGTGTCCTTGTACTAAACATGTTTGTACTCAGTTCTTGTACTAAACATGTTTGTAACTAAGTGTCCTTGTACTAAACATCGCTGTGTGAACGAGCTTGCGGGTTACAAACTTTGTTTTAAACATAATCGAATACACGTTATTGATCATTAAAACCAATCGTCCGATAATATTAGCACCAGCGTATAGCCCTGAAAGCAACTAAATCTATATCCCTAACCCTGATATTTATCAAAACCAATTTTTTACAGCAATAGTATGATAATATAAATACAATTCCTTCATTAGGTTTATATTCATTTCTCTATTAATTCTATGCCCATGTCATTATACTGATTGGAGTTTGAATGCCAGTTGACACAGTCACATCTACACATATTCCCAGAAGTCACATGACAAGAGAAACATGGGGAAACATTTCTCGTTGAAGAGCACACAAATAACATCAACATAAACAGCTGCGGTCCCTTATGGGCCGCAACCTAATACGGCTTAGATTACCCTCCCCACCACCCACCCCCCCCCCCTGACTGCTAATTCTTGGTTTGTGTAACATTAACATGATACGTCGTTTGTGTCGTTCCAACAGCCTTAAGAAAATAACACATGTGTTTAGTATTTCTTTCAGGACACCCACCCTCCACCCGAAGCTAAACTACCGCACACACCCCGAACGAAATGGAAAAAAAAATAGAATTTATAGTGTCCCCTACCCGGGAATCCAAGTTCCCCCCAACCCCACCCCCTAAAGATTGAGGTGCCCACCATCCCACGCCGGTGTAAAAAGTCTGAAAGAAACACTGCATGCGTTTGGCGGCGTAACGTTGTTTTAGTTGAAAGCTTAAAAACTTTGAAAAAAATTATTTTACAAGTATTTTACAATGATAAAAAAATACTACAATAAGAATTGTCTGTATATTTTGTATTTTGTTTCAGGTTGATTGACAAGTTCTTTCAATACAAAACACACTCCTCTCTAGAGTTGGGCTTTAATGTGCTGCCATTTCCTGCTGTCACCATTTGTAATGTAAACATCATGAGACTGTCACAGGCAAGTACATACAAATAGACACACACACACACGCACGCACGCATATATATATATATATATATATATATATATATATATATATATATATATATATATATATATATATATATATATGGTTCCATGACAAATGATTTTAGGGCAAATAATCTCATGACAAATGATCTCAGGGACACATGATATCACGGACAAAAAATAACAGGACAAAACATATCAGGACAAATGATATCATGGACACATGATCTCAGACAAAATATCTAGAAAGCTCGACTGCTAACCTGAAATGTTCGAGTTCAAATCCGGGTTCTAGTCAGTAGAACGTCCTGAGTCTACCCTTGTCTAATGGGTATCAATCAATTAGGGAAAGGAAAGGTGGCTGGGCATATTATCCCTTCTAACCACGGTCTTTGAAACAGATGAACACTACGTCATCTGCCCCATGTATCTTGGGCACGTATTGTAATACATTATGATGATATACATTTAATATATAATATATGTAAGCATTTATTTTACAATATTTTCCTGATTGTGTACAAGAGTCGTATTTTCTGTATTTTACAATTAACATTGTACATTGCCCGTTTGTTATAACAGAGTGAATCAGCTAACGACAACATAAACAACATTATTTACGAGGTGTCGTACAAATCAATGACTGAGGACGCTCAAAATCTTGACGTTGATTTCAACGATGATTACACCTATGATGGGACCGATGATACATCCGACAGGTTAGTCGTTTTATTCACGATACAGTTAACACAACTGCTTACATTCGTGTATAATATTCGTCTTACAACTTGGAAACTTAACCAAAAGATTATCAATCGATATAGATGTATATAGTTTGACACAAAGTTAGAGTAACAAATCCCCTTTCAGTCAAAAAGATTTGGGCAGATAAAGTGGACTTTATAATCTTTCTTGACCTCGGATATGAAGTGATGGTTTGATGAGCCACATTTACTTTCCCCATCGAAGCTGGATGAGCTCAGGTTCCGATATCCTCAAAACAGAGGTACTTCCAGTCATCTCTTCGCCCACCCCCCTCCCGGAGGTCTGCCGACACCCCCCCCCCCCTAACGAAATGAAATTTATATAGAAAACATATACTTTTACCAGTGTCCGCCCCCCCGCCTCCCCCCCCCCCCGGAAAATGTTGTCAGTCACCCCGGAGAATATCAAGCTCCCCCCCCCCCCCAGAGAAAAAATCTGGAAGAAACACTGCCTCCAAACTCTAGACCTCAGTATTAATAGCTGAACACTCTACTATTAGACCACGCAATCTTCACACCAAAATTAAATTTAAACAATTTATTTCTTAAACAGTCTTCATTTAAAATCACAAATGTATTCACCAACCAACCGAAATTTAAATAACAAGGCGCATCCAATACTGATAGTATTTATATATGATATTATTATATTTATTAGATATCATTTTAATTTTGAAAGATTGCAACGCGAGTTTTGATTACATGTAAATGATTGTAAATGATTCTGGTGTTTTAGTTCCGGGTCCTTCTGGGACAGTTTCCCCATCAATGACAGCGTCACCGATGAGTCGTATGCCGCTGAAGAAGCTCTCTACGACATGGTGAGTCATATAGCTTGCATACATGTGAATAACTAAACATCTGAAGAAAAACAATTACATAAACCAGAAACCGTTCCTGAACTGAACGTATAAAATATACTACAATATCTGACAACTATTTGCTTGTAATTAGTGAAAACATTTTATTTAAGCTACATTTTATAATGTAAGTAATTGCAAATATTATTATGATGTTGAAAACTGAACATATACATTCGATGTGCATTAATGAAAAAAAAAAACACCTTTACAGTCTGAACGGTTTATATTATTCAACTCTATTACTTTTATTTTATTATAATACAGAAAAAAACGAAAACAGTAATAGTTTTATTGAACTCATATAATTCTATAACGGGAGATTCAACCCAATTGTATGTTACATTATGTTACATACAGGAGGAGTTTGCGGGGACGTGGGAGGCGACTTCTGAGCCATCAAGTGCATCGGTGTATGAGGACGCATTCATTTCTGAGTTTAGCAAACTCAACGGGTGAGTGATATCATTGTAGGTAATGTGTTTCAGTGCTGCTAGTAAACTGGTGAGCTGTTTCTATAGTGCTGCTAGTAAACTGGTGAGCTGTTTCTATAGAGCTGTTAGTAAACTGGTGAGCTGTTTCTATAGAGCTGTTAGTAAACTGGTGAGCTGTTTCTATAGAGCTGCTAGTAAACAAGTGAGCTGTTTCTATAGAGCTGTTAGTAAACAAGTAAGCTGTTTCTATAGAGCTGTTAGTAAACTGGTGAGCTGTTTCTATAGAGCTGTTAGTAAACTGGTGAGCTGTTTCTATAGAGCTGTTAGTAAACTGGTGAGCTGTTTCTATAGAGCTGTTAGTAAACTGGTGAGCTGTTTCTATAGAGCTGTTAGTAAACTGGTGAGCTGTTTCTATAGAGCTGTTATTAAACTGGTGAGCTGTTTCTATAGAGTTGATGTAGACAGGTGAGTTATTTCTATAGAGCTTTAGCACTCAAGCTTAGTCTAGCAAAGGCAAGTTTTGAAGCCAATTTAAAGAAAGCTTTGGTTTTTTATTTACATCATTTTCATCACTATCCATAGTATGTATATCTTCTGAAACAACGTATTTGTTTTTAATAATAATCCGTTGCGATATAAATAGCTTTTACAAAAAAAATTGTTAGGTTAAATGGCATCAAATTACATAATGTTTTATCTCATGTGCGTGTCCACGGTTTTTCCACAGAACAACACGCTCAAAGCTTGGCCATCAGATTGGCACTATGTTGTTTCAGTGCTCGTTTGGTGGGAGAAAGTGTGAGAAGAAGTAGGTAGAACCACGTCAGTTGAGTAGGTTGGAAATGTGTTTCTTATTTTAGGTTCATTTGTTTTTATTACGTCAATAAGTGCACTGCTTTACAGTTTAGTAACAAATAGGTGTGCATGTTGATACTAATTTAATACGGTATATGCTATAGGAGTTCAGTTAGACATTTTTAATGCATGTTGGTTTCTACAGAAATTTTACGCTTGTCCATTCAACCACATACGGGAACTGTTACACAATACAGAATGACAAGTTTATGTCAAGAACAAGTGGACCAGGGGGTGGTAAGCAACTGTTACACAATAGAGAATGACAAATTTGTTTCAATAGTATCAGATACTATACAGAATCGCAATAAGTGGACAAGATGTGGGGAGTAATTTCGTGTGAATGACTTCCCTACTATCTGTCTAAAGATACACAAACACATTCTATTTGCTTTATAACATGGCTCTGTGAATTTTTAAAAGAAAGATATCTCATTCGAACAAGCAAAGTTACAACTAGTTTCAATTATATACCAACTGCTATATTTCTTAGGGAGACCCCATGTGTCTTGGACACCAAAAGGAAAAGATAATGATGATATTGGAGGAGGGGGGTGACATTTTGGGGCACATTCAAATTCATTTGTGTGTTTTCTAAAGTTTAGTATACCCCATTTTTAGGCCCTCATTTTAAAATTATAATTTAGGTGTTTATGCCATTTTGTTATTATCTACCATGTAAATTTGTTTTTGTAGGTTTGGAGCTGGTGCTATTTTTGGAAACAGACGAGTACATACCAGGTATCACCAGTGGAAAAGGTGCACAGGTGGTGATACACGAACAGGATACAGTCCCCTTTCCAGACCAAGAAGGGATAGCAATTAACGCAGGGGAACAAACTGTGATTGCACTAAAACAGGTCAGACGTGTTTTCCTTTGGCTTCTGATACCAGCTACCAACTACCACACAGGTTCACACAAAAAAGACGATAAATTCATAGAAATAAAATAGACTAGATCTACAAGCTACTTAGATCACAGCTATTTTATTATAAACAATGCCAGATCTGTCATTTATTTGGCGTAAAGTCAACGTGTTTTTTGTGTGTGCATTTCTAAAACTAAAATAAATAAATTAAAAAAAATACTCAGATGTAAGTTATAACTTTTTTAAAAGTCTGATGTGACTTTTTGTTAAAGACTTTCAAAAGTCGTAACAAAACTTATTTGAAAACGGTGTAGTCCACCGTATAGGCCAAATAGTAATTCACGGGATTGCACATAATACATTATTTTAATCGCCATTTTTAGATTCTAGATCTAAGTTATTCTAAATTCAAGGGAAACAACTAGAATTTTTGTTTTTATCACCATTGATGCACATTACTAAGCTTCTAGCAGTAAGTAACTAGACTCTAGATCTAGAATAGCTCTACCACATATTGGCATCCAGTCTCTTGAATAATAATAAATATTATAATGGTCCGGTAGACCTAGTTAGATAAGATTATACAATCTAGTTCTATTTCTAGTTCTAGTGCTAAATATTATTACTCCATGAATATTTCTAAGCTTCAATGTTAAATTTAGACCTTGAGTTAGAATCTTGCACATTCTCAGTCTAGGAGTCTGGGCTAGGTCTAGATCTAAATCTAGGTCCTCATTCTTTAGGGTTTAATTTGGATGGTATCAAAGTATCAAGATAAACTACTGTAATAAAACAACAGTAAATCAATGGCGTAGCCTGTCGAAACCACCGGAAATACTGTAAACCATCATTTATTTGCCGCCTTATTATTTTTAATGCATGTTTAAAAATGTGCAAGGATTGATTTTTAGTTGCATTTTAAATGCTGTTTTGCTAACTATTTTGTATTTCTAATTATTTTAAGTGTATGTGCTAATCATTGCTGCTACTAAACTTTGTTCTAGTTCTTCTTACTGCTTTTAACGTTAGTAAATCTAATCGTCTTATTTTACTAAGTAGGTCTAGATCTAGAATAATCTAGATTCTAGTTGTTGCAAATCTTCTGCAAGTTTCTTCTGTGTTTCTAAAAAAAACATCAATTACTACACTCGACTTTATTACTAATATTTAGATTTACTAATTGTTGCTAATTTTCTGTCAATTAAACATTAAATTAAGTAAAACATTACTTTAATGCAATTGACTCTATTTTTATTTGAACGGTCAATTAAACTATGGTTTACGGTAACGAATGTTACCGAAACTCAACAAACATTGCCAGATAATTTCCGACCCTACATCTTGACATTACCCAACTTTTAATTGAAGATAGACATTAGTAAAGGCCTACATTTTCTCAAATAGCACAAATGAACACACATTTTAAACAATTATCTCTGACACTTAAGCAGAAATTATTTTAAACAACTTTCTTTGAAAATGTTGCAGATATCTATTGAGCGTCTTGGTTTACCATATGGCAAGTGCAACGACGATACCGAGTTTAAAGCCAAATATAATACCAAATTCAGACGTAATGTAAGCTGGTCATTTATACAATAATAATATGAAACTAAGCTACATTTTTTTCTATTCATAGATAATACTTTATATACTATAAGATTGCCAGTAGTAAAAACTATGAAAACATAACATTTACCATGGGGTATTAAACTTAAAAATCTATGGTAGAAACTACAAATTTATCACAATTAAAAAGTGAAACATATCTGGTGATAAAGGATGTAAATAATTAACTAGTCAAAAAAGTCCACCTTCCCAGGTTTTGTCCTAACATTTGTATAATGCATGCCATTGTCATGTTTTATCCCAGTTGTGCCAGAAAATCTGCCAGGAAAACAAGGTCAGGGCCGTCTGTAACTGCTACGACCAAAGTAACCTGGAGGTGAACACTATCATAAAGACTCCAAGCACTCTCAAACCCTGTTCAAATAAAACAGGTAGGGCATAGGATGTTATGGTGACCTTATAATATCATTTTTCCTGTGAGTCTCTTGTGGAGATCCTGCTCTACACAACCAGGTACAATGTAGAATGTATACAATCAGTCCCAATTTCAAACTTGCAGTTTTGTATTTCTTCGCCAATATCTTTTTGCTTGGTTTCCCCCCATTTCAGTCCACCTGATATGTTTTAAATCTGAATTTAAATGTTTCAAATGATAGTTCTTTATAAATTTTAGAATTGGTGTGTGTTAAAAGTTTGAATTAAACGGTTTCCAATGATGACTCTATACATTTCAGAGTTGATTTGTGTTACGAGGCTGAATTTGAATGTTTCCAATGACGACACATCATGTGACTGCTCCAGTCCTTGCAGGTAAATAAACTCTGTGACCGTTTATTTTAGAATATTTTCATTTATATTCAGCAGGACAAAAGATTATATTTTATATATCTGTATGTTTTAAAATGAATGTCATTAAAATTTAATTAAAGTGTGTCTAAAAGTAAAATAAGCTTAATCAGTTATTACTTAATTGAACATTTTTTTATCTATCAGTGAAACGGCTTATGAAAAAAGTCAGTCCTCTAGACAATGGCCTAGTGTTGAAGCTGCAGTAAGTATTTTTATGTCAGACTAGGCATACTGCCTAGCTTCGCTTAGGTTTTTAAAAAACATTTGAGAATTTGAATACTTAATTATTTAGCGATGGAATGGGTGTGGAGTGCTTTAATAAGTTGAATTTAAACAGTAATGCTAACTTGAGAAAAAACATGTTTTTGTTCGTCATGTACATTCACCTGCCAGGGAATTTTGGAAATTACGCAATGTATAACTAAAATGGAATTAAAACTACACAGGTTTCATGAACAGTATATTTCATAGTTTATATTACATTGCCTTTTGAGATTAATTAATTAATTTAATTAGGATACTTAACTAAATTAAAAACTTAATTTTGTACTAAAACAAATGCTATACTTCGTCATTTTCTGTTTCTGTTTAAAATAGTATACAATTATTTGAAAAATAATAATTTTAAAAACGTTACCTCCCTTGAAAACTGAACGTATGACGTATGTCATTGTTTACTTATATTGTTTGCTTATATAAGAAATTACGTTATAGGAACATATTTAAAGACTATAATGGCTGTTTCCGACGGGAATAAAGTTTTTTTGTTACCCTCCAGGGTCGGTCTACGACGTCACATAATATTAAGGGGATCGTTCGTCAATTTATTTATATATATATATATATATATATATATATATATATATATATATATATATATATATATATATATATATATATATCTCATATAAGGAGAATTTCACTCAAGACCATCTTTTATCCCTCGTCGAGGGCTTTGAGTCTGACCAACAGTTTTTCCATACGGCCTAGTCATCTATAGTAGTGTATGCAAAAACTTAGCATGATGTACAGACATTAAGTAACCTAAAAATTGTGTTAAAATTTCCCTGTTTTTCCCATAAAATACAAAGATTATATAGGGAAATACAACTGGTCAGTTTTGACCGCTTTACGAAGTTTTCCCAGATATGCCGTGTTTTTTATGACACCCCTAGGTGTTCTTCTACCACCTCACAAAATATCAAGGGGGGTCGTCGGAGGAAATTTTTTTTCGTAATAGAGCTCATATAAAGAGAATTTCACTCGCGGTCACTTATTAGCCCTCCTCGAGGGCTTTGAGTGTAACCGACAGTTTTCCCTAAAGGTCAAGCCATTGTCCTAGGAGCATGCAAAAAATTAGCCAGATATACTGAGTTTAAGTACCCTAAAGTCTGCGTTGAAATGACCCTCTGTTTTTCCCATAAAATACAAAGATTATATAGGGAAATACAACTGGTCAGTTTTGACCCCTTTACGAAGTTTTCCCAGATATGCCGAGTTTTTTGTGACACCCCAAGGTGTTCTCCTACCACCTCACAAAATTTCAAGGGGGGGTCGTCGGAGGAATTTTTCTTTCGTAATAGATCTCATATAAAGAGAATTTCACTCGCGGTCACTTTTTAGCCCTCGTCGAGGGCTTTGAGTGTAACCGACAGTTTTCCCTAAAGGTCAAGCCATTGACCTAGGAGCATGCAAAAAATTAGCCAGATATACTGAGCTTAAGTATCCTAAAGTCTGCGTTGAAATGACCCTCTGTTTTTCCCATAAAATACAAAGATTATATAGGGAAATACAACTGGTCAGTTTTGACCCCTTTACGAAGTTTTCCCAGATATGCCGAGTTTTTTGTGACACCCCCAGGCATTCTCCTACCACCTCACAAAATTTCAAGGGGGGTCGTCGGAGGAAATTTTTTTTCGTAATATAGCTCATATAATGAGAATTTCACTCGCGGTCACTTTTTAGCCCTCGTCGAGGGCTTTGAGTGTAACCGACAGTTTTCCCTAAAGGTCAAGCCATTTACCTATAAGCATGCCAAAACTGAGCCAGATGTAAAGAGGGTAAGTGCTATAAAATCCGTTTTGAAATGACCCTCTGTTTTCCCCATAAAATACAAAGATTATATAAGGAAAGACGACTGGTCAGTTTTGACCCATTTCCCGATTTTTCCCGGACATGCCGAGTTTTTTGTGACACCCCAAGGCGTTCTCCTACCACCTCACAAAATATCATGGGGGGTCGTCGGAGGAAATTTTTTTTCGTAATAGAGCTCATATAAAGAGAATTTCACTCGCGGTCACTTTTTAGCCCTCGTCGAGGGCTTTGAGTGAAACCGACAGTTTTCCCTAAAGGTCAAGCCATTGACCTAAGAGTATGCAAAAATTTAGCCAGATATACTGAGTTTAAGTACCCTAAAGCCTGCGTTGAAATGACCCTCTGTTTTTCCAATAAAATACAAAGATTATATAGGGAAATACAACTGGTCAGTTTTGACCCACTTACCGATTTTTCCGAGATATGCCGAGTTTTTTTTGACACCCCAAGGCATTCTCCTACCACCTCACAAAATTTCAAGGGGGGTCGTCGGAGGAAATTTTTTTTCGTAATAGAGCTCATATAAAGAGAATTTCACTCGCGGTCACTTTTTAGCCCTCGTCGAGGGCTTTGAGTGAAACTGACAGGTCAGCCGTACGGCCAAGCCATTTACCTATTAACATGCCGAAAATTAGCGAGATGTAAAGAGGGTAAGTGCCCTAAAATCTGTTTTGAAATGACCCTCTGTTTTTCCAATAAAATACAAAGATTATATAGGGAAATACGACTGGTCAGTTTTGACCCACTTCTCGATTTTTCCGAGATATGCCGAGTTTTTTCTGACACCCCTAGGCGTTCTCCTACCACCTCACAAAATTTCAAGGGGGGTCGTCGGATGAAATTTTTTTTCGTAATATAGCTCATATAAAGAGAATTTCACTCGCGGTCACTTTTTAGCCCTCGTCGAGGGCTATGAGTGAAACCGACATGTCTGCCCTACGGCCAAGCCATTTACCTATAAGCATGCCAAAACTTAGCCAGATGTAAAGAAGGTAAGTGCCCTAAAATCCGTTTTGAAATGACCCTCTGTTTTTCCCATAAAATACAAAGATTATATAGGGAAATACGACTGGTCAGTTTTGACCCCTTTACGAAGTTTTCCCAGATATGCCGAGTTTTTTGTGACACCCCTAGGTGTTCTCCTACCACCCCACAAAATATCAAGGGGGGTCGTCGGAGGAAATTTTTTTTCGTAATAGAGCTCATATAAAGAGAATTTCACTCGCGGTCACTTTTTAGCCCTCGTCGAGGGCTTTGAGTGAAACCGACAGTTTTCCCTAAAGGTCAAGCCATTTCCCTATATGCATGCCAAAAATTAGCCAGATATACTGCGTTTAAGTACTCTAAAGTCTGCGTTGAAATGACCCTCTGTTTTTCCCATAAAATACAAAGATTATATAAGGAAATACAACTGGTCAGTTTTGACCGCTTTACGAAGTTTTCCCAGATATGCCGAGTTTTTTGTGACACCCCTAGGTGTTCTCCTACCACCTCACAAAATATCAAGGGGGGTCGTCGGAGGAAATTTTTTTTCGTAATAGAGCTCATATAAAGAGAATTTCACTCGCGGTCACTTTTTAGCCCTCGTCGAGGGCTTTGAGTGTAACCGACAGTTTTCCCTAAAGGTCAAGCCATTGACCCAGGAGCATGCAAAAAATTAGCCAGATATACTGAGCTTAAGTACCCTAAAGTCTGCGTTGAAATGACCCTCTGTTATTCCCATAAAATACAAAGATTATATAGGGAAATACAACTGGTCAGTTTTGACCGCTTTACGAAGTTTTCCCAGATATGCCGAGTTTTTTGTGACACCCCTAGGTATTCTTCTACCACCTCACAAAATATCAAGGGGGGTCGTCGGAGGAAATTTTTTTTCATAATATAGCTCATATAAGGCGCCGGTCAGTCGAGGTCAGTTTTGACCCCCCTCTCCGTAGACTTTTCGGCCAACCGTCACCGGCCCTCGTGTTCTATCGCCCCAAGGCACCATCGTGCCAAATTTGACGCGCCTACGGCGCCGGGAAGTGCCCTGTCGGGCACCCGACAACTTTGCTTTATATATATAGACTAGGCATACTGCCTAGCTTCGCTTAGGTTTTTAAATAACATTTGAGAATTTGAATACTTAATTATTTAGCGATGGATTTGGTGTTGAGTGCTTTAATTTAAACAGTAATGCTAACTTTAGAAAAAAAATGTTTTAGTTTGTCATTTACATACCGTTCTCAGAGAAATATCGGAAAGTACGCAATGTATAAGTAAAATGGAATTAGAACTACACAGCTTCCATGAACAGTACATCTCATAGTTTTTATTACATTGCCTTTTGAAATTTATTTATTTATTTAATTGTGATACGTAACTAAATTAACAACTTAATTTTGTACTAAAACAAATGCTATACTTCGTCATTTTCTGTTTCTGTTTAAAATAGTATACAATTATTTGAAAAATAATATTTTAAAAAACGTTACCTCCCTTGAAAACTGAACGTATGACGTATGTCTTTGTTTTTTTTTTACAAACAGTTGCTATGCTTATATAAGAAATTACGGTATATGAACATATTTAACAACTATAATGGCTGTTTCCGACGGGATTAAAGTTTTTTTGTTAGCCTCCAGGGTCGGTCTACGACGTCACATAATATTAAGGGGATCGTTCGTCAATTTATTTATATATATATATCTCATATAAGGAGAATTTCACTCAAGATCATCTTTTAGCCCTCGTCGAGGGCTTTGAGTCTGACCAACAGTTTTTCCATACGGCCTAGTCATCTATAGTAGTGTATGCAAAAAATTAGCCAGATATACTGAGCTTAAGTACCCTAAAGTCTGCGTTGAAATGACCCTCTGTTTTTCCCATAAAATACAAAGATTATATAGGGAAATACAACTGGTCAGTTTTGACCGCTTTACAAAGTTTTCCCAGATATGCCGAGTTTTTTGTGAAACCCCTAGGTGTTCTTCTACCACCTCACAAAATATCAAGGGGGGTCGTCGGAGGAAATTTTTTTTCGTAATAGAGCTCATATAAAGAGAATTTCACTCGCGGTCTCTTTTTAGCCCTCGTCGAGGGCTTTGATTGTAACCGACAGTTTTCCCTAAAGGTCAAGCCATTGACCTAGGAGCATGCAAAAAATTAGCCAGATATACTGAGTTTAAGTACCCTAAAGTCTGCGTTGAAATGACCCTCTGTTTTTCCCATAAAATACAAAGATTATATAGGGAAATACAACTGGTCAGTTTTGACCGCTTTACGAAGTTTTCCCAGATATGCCGAGTTTTTTGTGACACCCCTAGGTGTTCTTCTACCACCTCACAAAATATCAAGGGGGGTCGTCGGAGGAAATTTTTTTTCGTAATAGAGCTCATATAAAGAGAATTTGACTCGCGGTCACTTTTTAGCCCTCGTCGAGGGCTTTGAGTGTAACCGACAGTTTTCCCTAAAGGTCAAGCCATTGACCTAGGAGCATGCAAAAAATTAGCCAGATATACTGAGTTTAAGTACCCTAAAGTCTGCGTTAAAATGACCCACTGTTTTTCCCATAAAATACAAAGATTATATAGGGAAATATAACTGGTCAGTTTTGACCCCTTTACGAAGTTTTCCCAGATATGCCGAGTTTTTTGTGACACCCCTAGGTGTTCTTCTACCACCTCACAAAATATCAAGGGGGGTCGTCGGAGGAAATTTTTTTTCGTAATAGAGCTCATATAAAGAGAATTTCACTCGCGGTCACTTTTTAGCCCTCGTCGAGGGCTTTGAGTGTAACCGACAGTTTTCCCTAAAGGTCAATCCATTGACCTAGGAGCATGCCAAAAAATTAGTCAGATATACTGAACTTAAGTACCCTAAAGTCTGCGTTGAAAAGACCCTCTTTTTTTCCCATAAAATACAAATATTATATAGGGAAATACAACTGGTCAGTTTTGACCCCTTTACGAAGTTTTCCCAGATATGCCGAGTTTTTTGTGACACCCCAAGGTGTTCTCCTACCACCTCACAAAATTTCAAGGGGGGTCGTCGGAGGAAATTTTTTTTCGTAATAGAGCTCATATAAAGAGAATTTCACTCGCGGTCTCTTTTTAGCCCTCGTCGAGGGCTTTGAGTGTAACCGACAGTTTTCCCTAAAGGTCAAGCCATTCACCTAAGAGCATGCAAAAAATTAGTCAGATATACTGAGTTTAAGTACCCTAAAGTCTGCGTTGAAATGACCCTCTGTTTTTCCCATAAAATACAAAGATTATATAGGGAAATACAACTGGTCAGTTTTGACCCCTTTACGAAGTTTTCCCAGATATGCCGAGTTTTTTGTGACACCCCAAGGTGTTCTCCTACCACATCACAAAATTTCAAGGGGGGTCGTCGGAGGAATTTTTTTTTCGTAATAGAGCTCATATAAAGAGAATTTCACTCGCGGTCACTTTTTAGCCCTCGTCGAGGGCTTTGAGTGTAACCGACAGTTTTCCCTAAAGGTCAAGCCATTGACCTAGGAGCATGCAAAAAATTAGCCAGATATACTGAGCTTAAGTACCCTAAAGTCTGCGTTGAAATGACCCTCTGTTTTTCCCATAAAATACAAAGATTATATAGGGAAATACAACTGGTCAGTTTTGACCCCTTTACGAAGTTTTCCCAGATATGCCGAGTTTTTTGTGACACCCCAAGGTGTTCTCCTACCACCTCACAAAATTTCAAGGGGGGTCGTCGGAGGAATTTTTTTTTCGTAATATAGCCCATATAAGGCGCCGGTCAGTCGAGGTCAGTTTTGACCCCCTCTCCGTAGACTTTTTGCCGAACCGTCACCGGCCCTCGTGTTCTATCGCCATAAGGCACCTTCGTGCCAAATTTGACGCGGCTGCGGCGCCGGGAAGTGCCCTATCGGGCACCCGACCACTTTGCTTTATATATATCTATATATATAAAGCAAAGTGGTCAAGTGCCCGATAGGGCACTTCCCGGCGCCGCAGGCGCGTCAAATTTGGCACGATGGTGCCTTCGGGCGATAGAACACGAAGGCCGGTGACGGTTGGCCGAAAAGTCGACGGAGAGGGGGTCAAAACTGACCTCGACTGACCGGCGCCTTATATGGGCTATATTACGAAAAAAAATTTCCTCCGACGACCCCCATTGAAATTTTGTGAGGTGGTAGGAGAACGCCTTTGGGGTGTCACAAAAAACTCGCCATGTCCGGGAAAAATCGGGAAATGGGTCAAAACTGACCAGTCGTATTTCCCTATATAATCTTTGTATTTTATGGGAAAAACAGAGGGCCATTTCAAAACGGATTTTAGGGCTCTTACCCTCTTTACATCTGGCTAATTTTTGGCATGTTTATAGGTAAATGGCTTGGCCGTAGGGCAGACCTGTCAGTTTCACTCAAAGCCCTCGACGAGGGCTAAAACGTGACCGCGAGTGAAATTCTCTTTATATGAGCTCTATTACGAAAATTTTTTTCCTCCGACGACCCCCTTTGAAATTTTGTGAGGTGGTAGGAGAACGACTTGGGGTGTCACAAAAAACTCGCCATGTCCGGGAAAAATCGGGAAATGGGTCAAAACTGACCAGTCGTATTTCCCTATATAATCTTTGTATTTTATGGGAAAAACAGAGGGTCATTTCAAAACGGATTTTAGGGCACTTACCCTCTTTACTTCTGGCTACATTTTTGCATGCTCTTAGGTAAATGGCTTGACCTTTAGGGAAAACTGTCGGTTTTACTCAAAGCCCTCGACGAGGGCTAAAAAGTGACCGCGAGTGAAATTCTCTTTATATGAGCTCTATTACGAAAAATTTTTTCCTCCGACGACCCCCCTTGAAATTTTGTGAGGTGGTAGGAGAACGACTTGGGGTGTCACAAAAAACTCGCCATGTCCGGGAAAAATCGGGAAATGGGTCAAAACTGACCAGTCGTATTTCCCTATATAATCTTTGTATTTTATGGGAAAAACAGAGGGTCATTTCAAAACGGATTTTTGGGCACTTACCCTCTTTACTTCTGGCTACATTTTTGCATGCTCTTAGTTAAATGGCTTGACCTTTAGGGAAAACTGTCGGTTTTACTCAGAGCCCTCGACGAGGGCTAAAAAGTGACCGCGAGTGAAATTCTCTTTATATGAGCTCTATTACGAAAAAAAATTTCCTCCGACGACCCCCCTTGAAATTTTGTGAGGTGGTAGGAGAATGCCTGGGGGTGTCACAAAAAACTTGGCATATCTGGGAAAACTTCGTAAAGGGGTCAAAACTGACCAGTCGTATTTCCCTATATAATCTTTGTATTTTATGGGAAAAACATAGGGTCATTTCAACGCAGACTTTAGGGTACTTAAACTCAGTATATCTGGCTAATTTTTTGCATACTCTTAGGTAAATGGCTTGACCTTTACGGAAAACTGTCGGTTTCACTCAAAGCCCTCGACGAGAGCTAAAAAGTGACCGCGAGTGAAATTCTCTTTATATGAGCTCTATTACGAAAAAAATTTTCCTCCGACGACCCCCCTTGATATTTTGTGAGGTGGTAGGAGAACGCCTTGGGGTGTCACAAAAAACTCGGCATATCTGGGAAAACTTCGTAAAGGGGTCAAAACTGACCAGTTGTATTTCCCTATATAATCTTTGTATTTTATGGGAAAAACATAGGGTCATTTCAACGCAGACTTTAGGGTACTTAAACTCAGTATATCTGGCTAATTTTTTGCATACTCTTAGGTAAATGGCTTGACCTTTAGGGAAAACTGTCGGTTTCACTCAAAGCCCTCGACGAGGGCTAAAAAGTGACCGCGAGTGAAATTCTCTTTATATGAGCTCTATTACGAAAAAAAATTTCCTCCGACGACCCCCCTTGATATTTTGTGAGGTGGTAGGAGAACGCCTTGGGGTGTCACAAAAAACTCGGCATATCTGGGAAAACTTCGTAAAGGGGTCAAAACTGACCAGTCGTATTTCCCTATATAATCTTTGTATTTTATGGGAAAAACAGGGTAATTTCAACACAATTTTTACGTTACTTAACCTCTGTACATCATGCTAATGTTTTGCATACACTTCTATAGATGACTAGGAAGTATGGAAAAACTGTTGGTCAGACTCAAAGCCCTCGACCAGTGCTAAAAGATGACCGCGAGTGAAATTCTCCTTATATGAGATATATATAAATAAATTGACGATCGATCCCCTTAATATTATTTGAGGTCGTAGACCGACCCTGGAGGGTAACAAAAAAACTTTATTCCCGTCGGAAAAAGCCATTGTAGACGTTAAATATGTTTATATATCGTATTTTCTTATATAAGCATAGTAACTGTTTAAAAAAAAAAGTAAACACTGACATACGTCATTCGGTTAATTTTCAAGGGAGGTAACCTTTTTAAATAATTATTTTTCAAATAATTGTATACTATTTTAAACAGAAACAGAAAACGACAAAGTATAGCATTTGTTTTAAAAAAAAATAAGTTGTTAATTAAGCTACGTATCATAATTAAATAAAAAATTAATTTTAAAAGTCAATGTAATATAAATTGTGAGATATACTGTTCACGGAACCTCTGTAGTTCTATTTCCATTTTAGTTATAAATTGCGTATTTTCGAAAGCGGATATTAAACAACATACAACATCTTCTCTAAAATTAGCATTACTGTTTAGATTTAAGAACTCCACGCCTCATCCATCACCAAATAATTAGTATTCAAATTATCAAATGTTTTTGAAAACCTAAGCGAAGCTAGGCAGAATGCCTAGTAGATTATATTTGTATTTTTCTACTTTAATTTTTGTTTTAATTTAATTGGGTGTAGCAATTCTTCAACATTAAGTTTAAATGTGAAAACAAATTTGTACAAAAATTTTATTAAATAAAAACATGTTTTACATAAAATGAATCTGTCATCATTATAAATACATTAAATTGTATATTTGAGTTACTCTTAGTATGAGCATCACTAATAGATAGTTAATTGGGTTATTAATGTAGTTCGTTCTGTCTTTGTAGAAACTAATGGTTGACACTATGTGTAAGAAAAATGTGAGCACTTGTACTGATTTGCATAACAAAGATCCGTCACTCTATCCGTAAGTAACACATTTAGTTTAGGGTTTACGACTGTGGATTTTAGATATTTTTACTGAACCATGTATTTGAGGTGTGTTACTGTTAGTTTTTTAAAAATATTATCTCTTTACATTTTGAAACAAAAATATTACAAATAACCCATTAAACACAAAACATTACAAGTCACTGATAGCCACACTAAACATTACCACAAATTATTACAAATCACACATTAGCCACATTAAACATTACAAATATTCCATTAGCGACATTGTCGGGACATTGAATTTTACATAATCTGACAAACCACTAATGGTCTAGATTCTAGTTGTCTTGTGATTCTATCTAAATCAACTTCATGAGTTGTATAAATGTACAACAAAAACTCAACCAATTATATTTGAACAATACACATGTATTGGCAATTTATATTGTCATTTCACATCAACTAACACTTGCAGTACATTTGGTTAACAATTACAAAAACTTAATTCTAAAGGCATTGGGTGTTAGCAGAGGCGTAGCGAGGGGGGGGGGGGGGGGGGGCGGGTGGTGCGGATCGCACCGGGTGACACCATTTAGGGGGGTGACACCAAGGCAAAAAATAGTAATATATAGAGAGAAAAATTTGAGGAGGGGGATGCAAATCGAAAGTTTGAGGGGTCAGGGTGCAAATCGAAAGTCCGAGGGGGGTGTAAATCGAAAGTTTGAGGGGGCGGGTGCAAATCGAAAGTTCGAGGGGGTGTGCAAATCGAAAATTGAAAGTTTGTTCCCGGGACGAGTCGCTACGCTTCTGGGGGGGGGGGGGGGGGGGAAGGGTGGGGGGGGCGTGACACCATTAAGTGCCACACCGGGTGACACCGACCTCGCTACGCCACTGGGTGTCAGACATTATATATGGTAGTAATGCTGGTTGTTGTGAGGGGAATTGATAGAGATATTTAATGAGCAATGTTATAATTGGAATATAAGCAATTTTTATTGTACAACTCACAGGAATGACTTTGTCAAGCTCAACATTTACTTTGAAGATTTGAATTATGAGAAAATATCTGAACAAGCTGACTATGAGGTAATTATCTCTTACTTGAGCAGCTGTAAAAAGTTAATTGATCTTGTAATTAATGTAATATAATGTGTGAACCTGAACATACTGAACTGAATATTCTTTGTGGTGGATTAAATTAAACTGCAGTAGGCTAAATGCTCTAGACATGGAAGTTGAAAAAGATATCTACTGTATTAATGATAGCTATAGGCTCAACTGAAGTAAGAGGATAATCCTATAAACATCACTAGAATTTCTCACAGTGTTTCTAAATTAGAATATATATTGAAAAAGATATAAAAAATATTTTATCCTCTTTCATATCAATTTGATAAAAATATTGCTTTTATCCCGTTGATTGATGTATTCAACATTTCATTTTGTTAACATCTTTTTGTAGCCAAGTATAAAACAATATGGATTGATGTATTCAACATTTCATTTTGTTATCATCATTTTCTAGCCCATTATAAAACAATATGGATTGATGTATTCAACATTTCATTTTGTTATCATCATTGTCTAGCCCATTATAAAACAATATCGATTGATGTATTCAACATTTCATTTTGTTAACATCTTTGTGTAGCCCAGTATAAAACACTATTGATGAATGTATTCAACATTTCATTTTGTTATCTTTGTGTAGCCCATTATAAAACAATATGGATTGATGTATTCAACATTTCATTTTGTTATCATCATTGTTTAGCCCATTATAAAACAATATCGATTGATGTATTCAACATTTCATTTTGTTAACATCTTTGTGTAGCCCAGTATAAAACACTATTGATGAATGTATTCAAAATTTCATTTTGTTAACATCTTTGTGTAGCCCAGTATAAAACAATATTGATTAATGTATTCAACATTTCATTTTGTTATCTTTGTGTAGCCCATTATAAAACACTATTGATTGATGTATACAACATTTGTTTAACCCCAGCTGACCCAAATGCTGTCAGATGTTGGTGGATGTATTGGTCTCTGGATTGGCTTGTCACTGCTGGGTGTGTTTGAGGTCATTCACCTGACCATCGACATCCTGATGTTCATTGGGAGCTTTTTGTGCAGGAAAAAGTAGAATTTACCCTCTGTGTCAGGTTTAACTTTAGATATGTGTAAGGTTTACCTTTAGATATGTGTAAGGTTTAACTTTGGATATGTGTAAGGTTTAACTTTGGATATGTGTAAGGTTTAACTTTAGATATGTGTAAGGTTTAACTTTGGATATGTGTAAGGTTTAACTTTAGATATGTGTAAGGTTTAACTTTAGATATGTGTAAGGTTTAACTTTGGATATGTGTAAGGTTTAACTTTAGATAAGTGTAAGGTTTAACGTCAGATATGTGTAATGTTTTTTAATTCACATCTGCATGAGGTTAGACTTCAGCTCTGAGTGAGGTTTAACTTCACTTTCTTCAAAAGGTTCAACTTTATCTTTGTATGAAGTTTAACAGCAAATATGACTGGGGTTTAACTTCTTGTCAATGTGAAGTTTAACTTCATGCTTGTGGAGGGGTTAACTAAATTGCCTGTTTATAAACATTGAACCCGAGTGTCTTTTTAATAATTCCTATTTACGCGTTTATGATATTTTTGTTGTGATAACTGCCATAAAGATATTGTATTTACTTTTCTATATTGTTCAACTACTTTTATTGGTTTCAACTATGTGTGGTTGATGTTTTTTATTTGAAAAATAAATTATATGACATAAAATATAATTGAACAGCATATATAATTTTGTTTTAACTTTTTAACATGTATTGCTCAAATGATACAGTTCCAGGAAAACGGCAGCTTTAATAATAATAAAAGACATTTTTAATCAACATGTTAATCAAGTGTTACATATTTTAAAATCTGATTAAGAAGTTCTTAATTTCATTGAAAAGTATTTAAATATTATATAAGCAGAAAATATAAAAATCAAATAAAAGTATGCTGTTCTGTCAAACGATTTTTTTCCCTAGAGCTCTGTATTGCACATTTATGTAAACTTTAAACATGAAAATATAAATGTTGCTGGTATTGGTATTGTGATAATTTCTGTTACTATTTATTTTTGAATATCTAAATCTGACAAAAGCTCTAATTTCTTAAAAACCAGACCTAAATATGCCTAAATAAAGCGATAATATAATTGTAGCTTCAATAAAATTTGTATTTCTTAACTGGTTATTTGTATTATTTTATTGAAACTACAAATTTAATTTAGGCCTACATTTCAGTTGTGATATTCCTAACGTGAAAGCTTTCGACACATGTTTTAACTTGTGAAGGGCGATTAAACTAAAAAGTAATCTTGAAATTGTGTTGTTTCAGTGGGTGTTAAGACATTTTTACATAGCAGTGGGGCTGCTGATAACATTTTGAATTTTAATATAGAATATTGTTTAATTAATTACTTTAATAATTAATTTAGTAAAACAAAGTATTTAAAAAACAATATTATAATAATACTTCTGCATCATACACAAAACGCTTAAAAACATTCTTTGGGTTTTGGTGCCTCAAAGGTATTCTTTAAATCTTTTTATGTGACTTTTTAGCAGTGTTTATTGCAGACATTTTCTATGGGAAGGGGAAAGGGGAACTAAATTTACCAGGGTGAGGCTGACACTGGTTAAAGTATTTTCTTTATATAATATATCTTTTGACTTTATTGACAGCGAGCAAATGGGACAGGGTGGCCTAGCAGTATAGCGATAGACTAATAACTCGAAAGTCTCTAGATTAAATCCGGGTTTAAGTCAGTAAACATCACTGAGTCCACCCAGCTCTAATGGGTACCTAACTAACGTGAGGGAAAAAGTAAATGTGGCTGGAAGTAGTGGTGACCAAATTATCCCTTCATATGCCAAGGTCAAGAAACTTATGACCTCAGACACCATTAATCTCCATAACATCAAATAGAAACTTAATATAAAATTAAAATATATCTGGTAAATTAGATCTTCCAATTTAATTGTGAATCTGCAAGTAATATGTCGCTCATTCATCTTGCATTTTACTTCCTCACAATACTACGTTTTGCATCTCGCAATATATACCCTAACCTATCAGGCATGTCCATTAGAATAGATTTATAACAGTTGTTTAATTATTAGTAGCTTAAGACTTTAGAGTGTTGATTGTTTAAAAACACTGAAGTGGTGTATATTCACTGTATATGTTTATTTCGTATATATTACTCAAATGGGCCTGGTTTTGAAAGAAATAACAGATCGACATTTGAAGTGGTGAATGACAGTGACACCCCTAAAATAAGTCGTTGTAGTGCTCCTAAACACCATTATTTAAAATTTATTTTCAACAAGATCATTGAAATCTTAGACCCCACTGCTAGTATTCTGACTTGTATAAGGGGAAGTAACTTGATACATACTAAATAAACGTCTTCTTACGTTTTTCTCGGCCGCGCCTGCTTAAATTTAAATAAAGCTTTGCAATGTTTTCCATGTAGATCATCTAGACCTACAACAAATGTACTTAAAACCAGATTAATAAGAATAAAATTTAAAACTAAAACAGCAGTTACTCCAGTGACTTAGGCTTAATACAAATGTACAACATTGTAAGGTGATTTCCTTGGAACTATTTCATAAAACGGTAATCTATCGTTTTGGGTACGTAAAATCGCCCGCGGCTATTTATGTACGAAAACGTTACCTCATTGTCAAGGCTTTATTAGAAGTATATTGTCATACTTTTGTGTCAAATATTATAGATAAATGAATAATAAACCTAAATCAATGGCTAAATAATAAATATATCGATATAGGCCAGAAATTAACTTTAAACAGCAGTGTCTGAGAGCAAGATTTGCTATATAAACAGCAGCCATTTGTAAAATAGAGTGGCTTCCCCCTGAATCTGGCGCTAAAAGCTTATAAAAATAAAACTTAGACAAGATGGCTGCTATAGTAAATGAGCATGGTTGCATCTGTTGGAAACATCGCTAGTCTTCATTTATTACGGAAAAGTTTTAATTCAATTGTTTAAAAACAGGTACATAAATGAATCAAGGAAACATTTTTGAATTTTTAAAAACATAAATCCTCCTCAAAATGTGAAATAATTATTAAAATTTAAGGAGTCACCTGTTTTTCACATTACAAATCGCGGGCGATTTTACGTACCCAAAACGATAGATTACCCATAAAACTATTAATCTAACACGTGAAAGATCAATCTTTAGTGTAGTAACAAGTGTTATAAAATAGTCTTCCAACTTACCCAATGATGTTTTTACCTGAGACATTATTTGTCACTTCTTTACAAACACAACAGGAAGTACAAATCTTTTTTCTGACGTCCCCCGTTTCACTTCTTGGTACCCATTTCTCTTCCCTCTTTATTGGAGAGTTGAACAGTTTTGACCTGCTTTCAATGTGATCAGTCGGCGATGTTATTGGTGGATTAGAGAAAGTCCACAAGTCTCACGCTTATTTATCTCTCCTACTCTCCAGAGGCGTAGCGATTAGGGGCAGGGGGTACATATTTCCCCGTGCGCCGACCTTAGGGGGCGCCAAAATGGGTTGTAAAAACAAATTAAAATGTCATTGTAGCTGCGCTTTTGCATTATAAATATCTCACGGACAAATGATCTCAGGACAAATTATCTCAAGGACAAATGATCTCAGACAAAATATTTCAGACAAAATATCTCACAGCAAAATTTAAAAAGTGTATTGGATAATTTAAGTTGATCTGAACAATTTTTTTTTATTCACTGTCATATGGTTTTGTTTACTATGTTTAATATTGTTTATATGCCTATATATTAATTGTAAGAAATGTTTGCCGTATAAATTTGGCATATTGTACTAAGCATTTTAAAATTAAGATTACTAATATAGTATGCGAAGATTAAAGAGTTTGTTTCGATAGACAGCGTAGGTTGGCTTGACAAACATGCGACAATCCTACCACGTCAGGTGGACGAAACTAGATCAAAGGGAATGAAATAACAATAAAGACAGCTCTTCGAATCAAGGTGGCCGCCCGCTTTGATGGCGGAGACATGCGTCGGTCACACCTTAGTGATCAGGTGACAAATGCTTATTTAAACGACAGCGGTCATCGCGGAGCGAAGTTCGTCGTATCGTACATGCAAACAAAGCAGTATTAGTGGTGATTACTCAGCTAAGACCTCTTTCGTTACCTCGCAGATAAGGTATAGGGCATTAGTTTCTGGTGAATTTCTGTATAAAAGCCATAAGTAGAGCAGCAGGCAAATAGATTTGGAAATGTCAAGTAAGAATATGTAGGCTACAGCGAAAGCTCACACAATACATGATCATATAGTATTGGAAATGTGTGATCATAACGATGTACCTGCCAGCAAAGTAACGTAAACTTTATTTTTCTTTTGTTGATGCAGTAAAAACAACAGTTTTAAGTTACGAACCTGAAGACCCATTCACATTTGTTTGTTAAGTTTAACAAATTCATTTTATAACAATCAATTATTATGCGTAAAAAGAGAAAACAAAACCATATTGACAAACAATAAAAAAAAGTTCAAATCAACTAAAGTCATCGTACATACTACTAATAAAATTTTGCTGTGAGATATTTTGTCTGAGATATTTTGTCTGAGATCATTTGTCCATGATATCATTTGTTCTGATATATTTTGTCCTGCTATCTTTTGTCCGTGAAATCATTTGTCCTTGAGATCATTTGTCCTGAGATCATTTGTCATGAAACCGAGGGGGAGGGGGTCAAATCGAAAGTTTGAGGGAGGGGGGGGGGTGTGCAAATCGAAAGTTTAAGCGGGGGGGGGGGTGCAAATTGAAAATTTGAATATTTGCTCCCGAGGGGGCGCCAAATTGAAAGTTTGTCCCCGGGCGTCGGGAAGTGTCGCTACGCCTCTGCTACTCTCTGAAATATATTTCTTTCCCAGTAACCGTTAACATGTGATCTATTATACGTTCGCATATGCCATTTGTTTTGTGAAAATGTTGACTTTTTCGGTGATCGTGAATTCAAATTTACAACTTATTGTTAAATACTTTTCTCAGTCTTACTTAATACACGAGGTGTGCAGTACTTAGGTAAATTCATCTGTTGATTTGAAATATTTAACAGGCACACTTTAAGAGTTTAATAAATCAATAACATGTTAGTGTAGGTGAATACTTGATCACCAATCTAAAAGTTCGATCGTGTACAGTAGCCATACTAAATTTAAATAAACGGCTATTGACTTTGTATTTTTATGTACTGAGCGATCAATGTCGCTTTCACTTTTACGAGGACTAAAGGCTACCGCAGGTCGAGAAACAGGATTTCTATAAAAAGATTTGATAGGAATTCCCCACGGGTTGAATAGAGTTGCGCCACTCTGGAACCGGTCTATTCACAGCTCCAGCAATAGAACTCGTCAACACAGGTTTTAATAGGGGCACTTTATGTGTTTACACTTGTCCTAAACCTAACTGGCGAGAAATTTCCACCAAACGTATCGTTTCCATTATGGAAGAATTGTAAATCGATTCAATTTAAATCTTGAATTAGTGCAGCGAAATAATTTCGTTCCTTATACTCGTGTTTTAAGAGGTGTTACATATTAAGTCTAGTTAAATTTTTACATAGAATTTGTGATAAAGGAAGTGATCTTAAAGCTGGGTGATTTGTGTTTTCATTCAGAAGATCAAAAGCTGATCTTAACACCAATACATGTAAACATTTAGCAATAACATCACAGACAGCTGTTTTAAATTACGAACTGTGAAGACTGTAGCATAAGCGTGATTAGCAATTCGTCCACATCACATCAAAAACATGTTATTTGGATTATATTTGTTGTCTATTTACTTGGCTTGCTTGGTACCAGCCTCACAATCAGGTATGTGCCTCTTATTATCAGATACAAGTATGTTAAAGCATTCTGTATATCCTATGTTTGATTCTGTCATTGTGAAAGCAGTCATTTACAGTGTTTCTACACCAGACTCCCCGAAGAGATGCCTGGGAGAAACGCTGATCATTTATCACACGCTGTAATGTTTCTTTACATAGGGGTCATCCATAAATGACGTCACACTCGTAGGGGGGATGGGGGGGTCCGTAATTTTGTGACGATGTGTGATGAGGGGGAGGGGGGGGGGTGTTCAGATGTTGCGACGTCATATTTTTGCATTATAAAAAAGCAATGTTAGAAAACGAGTTTTAGACGTTATTTCGCGTTTTAGATAACTGTTTTAATAAATTGTAATAGTTTAGACAAGATTTTGGAAAAATATCAATGTTTTAAAAAAATTCAACTGCAATTTTGATGGGGCGGGGGTTGAAGGTTGAGGTGTGACGTCATTTTAGGGGGGGGGGGGTCTGGCTTTATGTGACGACGTGTGATGTCATTTATGGATGACCCCATACCCTAGAATATATATTTTGACACTGGGCTACACTGGCGAGTATTAATATGTACGTCATTTTCGGTACGACTAGCATGTGACCAGGGGTGGTTCGGCGCGCCATGCCAGTTCAAATGTCGCTGTGCTAAGGGCTGTGACGTCAGTGGTGTCTGCGTCAATGCCACGTCATGTTCGCTGGGATGGTTTGGACCTCTGTGCCAGTACCGTAAGTATGACATGACACAGTGTGTACACTGTATGTGACGTTTTATGTACAAAGTACATTAAATATGACACGACACAGTGTGTACACTGTATGTGACGTTTTATGTACAAAGTACAGTAAGCCTGACACAGTTTATGTACAAATACCGTACGTACGTCATGGTTTATGTACAAATACAGTACACACGAAACAGTTTATGTACAAGTACCGTATGTACGTCATGGTTTATGTACAAGTACAGTACACACGAAACAGTTTATGTACAAGTACCGTATGTACGTCATGGTTTATGTACTAATACAGTACACACGAAACAGTTTATGTACAAGTACCGTACGTACGTCATGGTTTATGTACTAATACAGTACACACGAAACAGTTTATGTACAAGTACCGTACGTACGTCATGGTTTATGTACAAATACAGTACACACGAGAAAGTTTATGTACAAGTACCGTTAGTATGACATTGCATATGAGAGTACAAAAAGTATGGCATAAAATAAGAGGTGCATGCCGGTAACGTAAGTACGACACGATATATACCTCAAAACAATAATTATGATGTTCAGTTGTGTCAGCATCAAAAGTATGACATGTCATATTATAGAATGTACCTTAAGAATGACAATTAAGTACAGATACCGTATGTATGACACGACATGTCACAAAACAATGACTACCGACATTCAACTTCTGACTTGTAGAAGGGGGGAAACATTGAAATAACGTTATACACTTCATGAAGTACCAAACACTCTTAACAGAGGACCTGGCCAACATTGGTGCTACAGCCACACCCAACACCAGCAAGGCCACGGATGGGGACGATACAAGCTGCTCAAGTCTACAGAATTTAACCCTCTCATGGCCCACTGCTTATTTCATCAACTGGGTACAGTTTATCATTCCTAATGCAAGTAAGTTGCAATAATGCACGAGACTTATTAACATATAAGCTTATCTAACAAAGCCACTTATAAGTTTGTGATGATAACATAACTACCGGCTATATCACTCAGTATGTCTTACCCACTACGGAAACTCATGTTTAATACAAACGACTTCAAAGTTCCACAGTTATTTTACTTGCAAGTAGGAAATTAATTAAGCAAAGACTGAACTTACAATACAGGAATCACGAAGAAAGTATTTTAAACATGTGCTTAATGTGGTTAGAGATATTTAAATTAGTTCTTAAAATATCTTTGCCAATAAATCAACTTAGAAATAATACACAATCTTTTAGATTGTGTGGCAGACTAATTAAGGCAAAACCTTGGATTTAAAACACAAAAACATAACAACTAAATTCAGACTGCTCCCTTCAAATCACATCAGCCTATAATATTCGTAGTTCCATTATATTTCAAACCAAACTGTGTTGATCTCTATAAATATAGCAACACTACCAGTGAATACCTTCAGAGTTAAGCGAAACTGTCATGGCTATACCATTTGTGTTAATACCGTTACCATTTGCACTAAACTGTGTTGACCATTATAGGTATAGCAACCCTACCAGTGATGACCTTTAGAGCTAACCAAAACTATCATAGCCATACCATCTGTTAATGCCATTACCACTTTCTATGTTGACCCCTCTAGGTATAGCAACTCTACCAGTGATGACCTTCAGAGTTAGCCAGGCTACCAACAGCACCACCCTCCCGTGTCTGAACAACCAAACTAAAGTCTACAACACAAACACAGTGGACGTCTACTGCACCTTGACCTCAGCGGTCCAGTTAATGACGCTCACGTTTGCTTCCAACACTTCCGGGTTGTCTGTGTGTTCTATTTATATCAGTGGAGGTTCGTATTGTTGTCCAAGAGGTATTCATTCATATTGTGCTTCGGATTTAGAATTCTAAAATAGCAAATAGTTTTTTTTCTTTTATATACATTCACGGCGAAATAAAACTCTAATTTTAGTTAAATATAGGCCAATGTTTGAAATAGGGAATTATACTTCCTGGATTTCTTGGGAAAATAAAAGCATTTCGATGGCAATCAAATAAAACCGAAAACGTTCTAGCTATTATGTGAATTAACAAAGTGTTAAAATTTAAAATTTGACAGGCCTTTGATTTGTAGTATACCACTAGATGACCCAGTTTCTCGTTGGAAAACGGTCTTTCACTTTACACAGCACACTCTAACCGATTTCCTATTACGCATACCCCACCCCGTTAAAGCCTCTTTGCTTCAAAGGAACCCATCGATTTAGGCCCTTCCGCCCTGACCCATTGGGACATCGATTTTTGTCGTCCAATTTGGACAGGTGAAAATGTGTAGTAAGGTGCGGGGGGGGGGGGGGGGGAGGCATAGGCGTAGCGACCCTTCCCGGCTCCCGGGGACATACTTTCAATTTGGTGCCCCCTTGGGAGCAAATTTTCGATGTGCACCCCCCCTCGAACTTTTCATTTGCACCCCGCCCCCTCAAACTTTCGATTTGCACCCCCCCTCGAACTTTTCATTTGCACCCCCCCACTTCAAACTTTCAATTTGGCGCCCCCCCCCTAAGGTCGGCGCCCGGGGACATATGTCCCCCCCCCGCCCCCCCCCCCCCCCCTTCGCTACGCTACTGGGGGGAGGTTGACTTGGTTGAAACCTACACAAGTAAAAAAACCTACATATACGTGTATTAGTCAATGAATTCATTTTGTTCACGAATTAGAAGACAAATCAAACGTATCCTATTAATATTGATAATCTTATTCAAACCTTATAGAAATAACAAACGTATTTATTTTATTAAAGCTACAGCCTTAAGAAAATAAATATTATTCATTACAGTTTTCATTAGACCTTTTTGTTAGACGTCATTTTTTACCTCATTGAAAATAAATAAAATATTTTAAACCTTTAAAAATGCAATTGTGTTTAGTAACGTTTAACAATAGAAAACATCTAAGATAATCAAAAACACATTTGCAGCAGCCGAGAGCCATCAATGAAGCAACAGTTAAAATCTAAAAGCAAAGATTTTATAATCCACATAATCCTTTCCGAAACGTGCGCAACGTTTAAAAATCTAATAAAAATGAAACAATTTACATCATTGCGTCCTTTTCTAACACCACATTATATTTGATATAAATACGTATTTGTATTGCTCGCAGCGTGAATTGAACATAGTTTTATTTCACAGGTAGAAACTTGGCTTTGAAAGCAGCTACTACACAAACCAGCAACTACACGTCCGGCGTCTTTATCTACGACTCTTCCAAAGCCGTTGACGGGAATACAAGCAACGATTTTAACCAAAACTCATGTTCCTCAACAAATCCAGGAAAGGTGTATTGGAACCTGACATTTGCTCAGACAGTCAATGTTAATCGATTTATTCTATACAATCGAAGTAAGCATAAAAACATAATTTCCTCTATTGAGTGTAGTAGGCATGCAAATATAACGTGAAGTTTGATTAATCAAACCTAAATGGCGACCTGCTTTTTGTCGCAATCTAAAGTAGTTGAATATAAATAGAATTTAACATCCAATCCGTCGATTAATAAACAAGTCATTGTTTTTTTAAACAAATAAATTAAAAACACTTGTAACGTTAACCTATCTATCAGCCAAATAGAAGGAGAACGTCCCCGGATTCTTTTTTCGGGGTCATATGCAAATGCCTTACGGCCTAAGTGGATGAACACTTAACACAACGACCACTAGGGCTCGAATTTAATGTCTAGGGAAGCTAGTGATACTATTGTAATTAACACTCATCCAATCTACATACGACCTTTTAATCAGCGAACTCAGAAGTGGCAGAACACAAGGTAGAACTAAATAAAATATTTAATGTATAAAATATCAAAAACCAACTTACACAATGTAGGAAAAAACACTATCACAGATTTCTACACTGTCTAAAGAACAGCTACAGGCCACACAACACTGCTGTAGTTTCTAGAATTACTTAGCGACAAGTAATATTAAACTAGAAGACTAAATCAACTTTAAGAAAGCGTAGCACACACAGGACTTAAGTACTCTCACGTTCAAATGGTCAGAGTCTATAGCCGGACGATATGGACGGCTGCCTGACTAAGGTAAAACTGCCTCGTAGACTGCCAGGTCAAGATAAACTGCCTCGTGTTGCGAGTGTGCAGTGCAATTAAAGACTTCTGTGACAGGGGAGGTTATCCTCAACTCATGTCGCCATTGGTTGGGATAATCATCTGATCAGAATCATTCAATCAGATTTTAATGGAAAATTTCTATGTTTCAAACACCTTAATAAGTCAGTGGAAAAACCCCAGGTGTTACACCATCATTCCATATAAGGAATTATACAATGTCAAAATAAAAATGACTCGACCTAAGTAGGTCACATCCCCTCCCTTTTTGGAAGTGACAGATAGGTTCCACAAAAACATACATAGGGAACCAATCTGGCAATGAAATAACAAAAATGTTTTACAAATGTAGGTTCAATCAAAATCATAATACCAGATGAAAATATCCCTGAACATAAAAGGGAAGTAACTCCAACTTTTACAATTGGTGAAAGGGGAGTAACCCTTCAAAAAGTAATTATACATCAAAATCCCTCGAAAAAGGGTATTACAATATTTCCATGTGGATATTAAAAGTGGTAAACCCGCCAGGGTAAGACCTTTATTTCAATGACTAGCTACAATATCAATTGAGTCATAAGAGACATATTATTATAAAAGATTACATATAATCAAAAACCACCTTTAATTAAGGTTCACCTGAAAATAAACAAAATATTCAACAGGATTGGAATTTTGAAAAATTCTAACTCACACCACTCATTTTCATATGAGTGACACTCAAACAAAACCTGTCTATGGTCCTAATGAACCACGAAGCATGTCACATGATCAATGTGTGCAACAAGATTTTACATCCTTGACAAACAATCAGCCACAACATTATCACTACCCTTAATGTGTGAAATTTCCAGATTAAAATTTTGGAAATATAAGCACCATCTCAATATTCTTTGATTTGTCTGTCCTAACTTAGAGGTAAATTTCAGGGGATCATGGTCAGAAAACACTCTGACTGGATTGGTTGAAGAAGAGACATAGACTTCAAAATGTTGTAATGATAAAACCAAAGCTAAAGCTTCTTTTTCAATAGTAGAATAATTCTTTTGGTTCTCATTTAACTTCCTGGAAAAAAAGGCAATGGGATGGTCAATTCCCATGTTGTCTTCTTGAAATAGGACTGAGCCAATGGCTAAGTTGCTAGCATCAATGGCAAGTTTAAAGGGCTTGCTAAAATTTGGTGCAGCCATAACAGGAGCATTTGATAAAAATGACTTAATGGTTAAAAAAGCTTCTTGACATTTATTGGACCATTCAAATTCAACACCCTTTTTCAATAATGCAGTAAGAGGTTCAGCAATAGCTGAAAAGTTTTGACAGAACCGCCTATAGTAACCAGCCATCCCAAGGAACTTTTTGATCTCTTTACAATTTTTGGGAGGTGGCAACTTTACAATAGCATCTACTTTAGCTCCAATGGGCCGAACTTGGTTCGTTCCCACTTGATAACCCAAATAGGTAATTGAAGCTTTACAGAAATCACTTTTATGTAAGTTTACAGTAAAATTAACTTCAGACAATTTTCTAAAAAGGTTAGTCAACTGAACAATATGTTCTTCAAAAGTATTAGAAAATACAACTATATCATCTATGTAGGCCTCACATTGGTCTATGTCAGCAATGACAGAGTTAATGACTCTCTGGAAAGTTTGACCAGCATTTTGCATACCAAAGGGCATACGTTTGTATCTATAAAAACCATTAGGGGTTACAAAAGCAGATATTTCTTTTGCACGGTCAGATAAGGGGATTTGCCAGTATCCTGAAAGTAAATCAATTTTGGAAATTATCTTAGCTTGACCAACTTTATCAATAACATCTTCTATCCGAGGTAAGGGATAGGAATCAGCTTTGGTGAGCGCATTCACCTTCCTAAAGTCGGTCACAAACCTGAAAGATCCACCGTCTTTCGGGACTAGGAGACATGGGGAACTCCAGTTGCTGAAACTGGGCTCAATGATATCATTCTTGAGCATATAATCAATTTCATCTTTTATCAAAGCAGCTTTTTCCGGGTTAACTCTATAGGGGTGTTGTTTAATGGGTTTTGCGTCACCAACGTCTACATTATGGGGTGGAACCTTCGCTTCTTTGGGGACATCCCCAAAAATAGAGGGAAATGTCTCAAATAACTGAGACAATCTATGGCTTTCCTCTGTGGACAAATGCATAAGGTGGACATTCAAATTATCTAAAAAGGGAGAATTTACCAATTTTGGGGGTTTCAATTTATCATGTATCACATCATCAGAAACATTTGAACATACAGGTAAAGTAATTTTAGCTGTGGAATGAAAATTGTTACAATTATCATAATACTTTTTCAGTGAGTTGACATGATACACTGTCTGTTTCTTTCTTCTGTCGGGTGTATTGACAACATAGTTCAAATCACTTAATTTTGAATGCACAGTAAAGGGTCCACAATATCTCAAGGATAACGCATTGTTCAGATTAGGCACTAGCACAAGAACTTTGTCGCCTGGATTGAATGTTCGTTTACAAGAACTCTTATCATACAGTTCTTTCATTCTAACTTGGGCCTTTCTTAAGTTCTTGTGAGCCATTTCGCACACGGCTTTCAGTCGAACGTGAAAATCGTCGAAGTTTTCCACTGGATGATCACTGGTACCTGTCCAACGTTCGTGTATCAGCTTCAGGGGGCCACGGACAGAATGTCCAAACACAAGTTGAAAAGGCGAGTAGCCTAAAGAGTCCTGGACACAGTCCCTCGCGGCGAAAATAATCCAAGGAACAGACTCATCCCATTGGGTGTTACTGTTAGCGAATGTCCTTAGCATGGTTTTGAGGGATTGGTGGAACCTCTCAAGTACGCCTTGAGACTGAGGGTGGTAGGCTGAGCTGGTGATGTGGGTAACGCCTAGCTTGGCTAGCGCTTCCTGAAAATGGTGACTGGTGAAGTTGCTGCCTTGATCTGTTTGCACAATTCTAGGTAATCCAAAGGTAGTGAAGAACCGGGTCATGGCTCTGACTACAGTCTTTGCCTTAATGTTCCGTAAGGGAATCGCCTCGGGAAAACGGGTACTTGAACACATAAAGGTAAGTAGGTACTCGTTGCCCGCCTTGGTTTTAGGCAAGGGGCCTACACAGTCCATGACGATTTTAGAAAAAGGTTCTTCTAATACAGGAATCGGACTCAAAGGGGCCTTAGGAATTGTCTGGTTTGGCTTTCCGGCCAACTGACAGTTCGTGCAACTTCTGCAGTAACGCGACACATCTTTTCTCATTTTGGGCCAAAAGAACAGTTCTTTGATCTTCGCCGTCGTTTTAGTGACACCTGGGTGCGCTGACATTGGATGGTCATGTGCCAGCTTAAGTATTTCATGCCGATAAGGTGGAGGGACCCACAGCTGGTTTTTACCCAACCATGGTTCGGCTGGTGAGGCAATCACTGGTATAGCGCGACGAAAGAAGAGGCCATTCTCGGCGAAATATTCTCCATCGTCAGATGATAGAGATTTTTCGACCGTTGCTTTGAGTTCCGCGTCGACTTGTTGAGCTTTAATGATGTCTTCCTGAGATATCCTCAGGGGTAAGCCCAGGCTTGTGTTTTCTGGAAGCATAGACTCCAGTTTGGGAGTCGAATTTCTTGACGATGATGGTAGATGTGGTTCAGACGTTGTGTCAGCCAATTGTTTGGTCTGGCTTCTTGTCACCGCACATGCAGGATACAGTTCATAATCATTATCTGGAACTGTTGACAAAGGGTCTGAAACCGTACAGGGGTATACTTTGCTTCCCGCAAGGTCATTCCCTAGAAGTAGGTGTACTCCTGGGACTGGAATACTATCTATCACACCTAAAATGACCTCACCTTCGACGAGATGATGTTTCAGGGCAAACTTGTGTAGAGGGACGACAGTTGATTTTGTCCCCACTCCCTGGATAATGGAAATCCTTCCGGTGTTCGTCTCTGGTGTAATGTCCATTGAACTTTTCAAAAGGAGTGATTGTGACGCTCCTGTGTCTCTTAGGACGGTGATATTCCGCTGAGACAACGGATCACCTGGTTTGCTAATGATGGCTTCGGCAATAAAAGATGAAAAGTCAACTTTTCTCGATCCCTCGAGATCGGTAGACTCGGAAGAAACTGGATGGTGGCGAGAACAGTCAAAATGTGACTGCACATAATGTGTGGAGACTTGACTACCTTCTTGCGGACACTTAGGGTTAGAGTCCTTTTGAATTCTAGAGTTCATAGTTGAGCCGGCAGCTTGAGGGGATAGAGCATAGTGCGCAGAAGTACGCACCACCTCTCTGTTATATTGACGACGTTTGTAACAGTCCTTGACATGATGACCAGGCCTTTTGCAGAACTGGCATACTGCTCGCCGATTGAGAGTTGATCTTGGTTTCTCTCTGGACTGTAATGCCTTCACGTGTTGGCCAACAGGAGGATTGCTGCCAAAAAGGGGAAGCACGGGGTTGAGGCGGTTTCCTGACACTGGTGGTTTCTTATGCACCAACATATATGTGTCAGCCGACTCAGCAGCCTTCTGGATGTCAGTTATCTTGTTATCCAGAATGTGTAGTCGTATCTCTTCAGGCAGGGACGATAGGAATTCTTCCCTTAGGATAAGTGACCTGAGTTTCTCAAACTCAGAAACTTCCTCAGAGTGTAGCCACCTTGAGAATATTTTCTCCTTTTCAAAGAGAAATTCCACATATGATTGTGTGGGTAACTTGCGGAGTGTTCGGAATTTTGTCCGATAGGCCTCGGGCGTCAGTGCGTAGGCCTTTAAAATGGCAGTCTTGACCAAACTATAGTTATTTTGAACGTCGTGAGAGAGTGCCTGGTATGTTTTTGCAGCTTTCCCAGTAAGGACAGAGCTCAATAAAGCAGTAATGGAAGTTTCGGGCCATTCACATGTCTTCGCTAAACTCTCAAACGAGTTAAAGAAAACGACCAAATCTGTTTCATCAAATTTAGGAACTAATTTCCCAAATTTGGCAATCACTTGCCCTACCGACAACTTTTTTGGATCTACCAGAGAAGTGACATCACTAACTTGACCAAATTCTGATTCCAACCTCCTCCTATCTAAAGCAATTTTAACCTCTAACTCCTGGTCTTTTAATGCCTTCTCTAAAGCAACTTTCTCCTCACGAAGTAATACACCAGCCAACAAACTTTCATCAAATACCCCTTCATTAATGAAATGAACAACAATTTTATCTCTCAACACCTCTGACTTCTGCGTAACAGAATAATCCAATTTCAATTCCTTAACAACACTAATCAAAACTTTTCTACTCAACTTCTCGACCTCTTCAAAAGTAGGATTAGCCAAAAAAGACTCCATAACACTAACTTTCAAATCACAACAAGCCTAGGTTCACTAACTTAACACACAGCGTTGGGCCGTGTACTTGACCTCTTCAATCTAGGACAACACGTCTGGCTATTGACCTAGATAACTCTATGCTTGCGCGCGTTGTAAGGACACTGCGCTACTGGATATAAAAACAACTAAATCCAACTAACCTTAGTATTCAACTGATATAACCAACAACTGGAACGACAGATTAAATCTCGGCGAGCCCCCACTTTGTAACGTTAACCTATCTATCAGCCAAATAGAAGGAGAACGTCCCCGGATTCTTTTTTCGGGGTCATATGCAAATGCCTTACGGCCTAAGTGGATGAACACTTAACACAACGACCACTAGGGCTCGAATTTAATGTCTAGGGAAGCTAGTGATACTATTGTAATTAACACTCATCCAATCTACATACGACCTTTTAATCAGCGAACTCAGAAGTGGCAGAACACAAGGTAGAACTAAATAAAATATTTAATGTATAAAATATCAAAAACCAACTTACACAATGTAGGAAAAAACACTATCACAGATTTCTACACTGTCTAAAGAACAGCTACAGGCCACACAACACTGCTGTAGTTTCTAGAATTACTTAGCGACAAGTAATATTAAACTAGAAGACTAAATCAACTTTAAGAAAGCGTAGCACACACAGGACTTAAGTACTCTCACGTTCAAATGGTCAGAGTCTATAGCCGGACGATATGGACGGCTGCCTGACTAAGGTAAAACTGCCTCGTAGACTGCCAGGTCAAGATAAACTGCCTCGTGTTGCGAGTGTGCAGTGCAATTAAAGACTTCTGTGACAGGGGAGGTTATCCTCAACTCATGTCGCCATTGGTTGGGATAATCATCTGATCAGAATCATTCAATCAGATTTTAATGGAAAATTTCTATGTTTCAAACACCTTAATAAGTCAGTGGAAAAACCCCAGGTGTTACACCATCATTCCATATAAGGAATTATACAATGTCAAAATAAAAATGACTCGACCTAAGTAGGTCACACACTAATCATTATATTAATTTATGAATTCATACGTTATACTCTGAAAAATTAACAGCCATCAAAGGCACACTGTTTCTGCTTTGATGACTAATTTTTTATTCACATTTTAGGACATCACATATACGATTTAAAATTTTGCTTTTCGATGTTGCAATGTATTTTTGTTCTAAAGCTCAAGAATTTCCAGACGAACGTGCAGAAATCACATATACGATTTAAAATTTTGCTTTTCGATGTTGCAATGTATTTTTGTTCTAAAGCTCAAGAATTTCCAGACGAACGTGCAGAAATCTTATTCATAGCTGTTCATATTTCTCAACGATCCATGTGTGTATGCAAGGTCTATAGCATAGGTGATTACGTTTATGTTTTATTAAAGCTGCTAAATTGTTTCTCAGAGGATTTACAGGATCGACTCAAAGGGTTTAAGCTGCTAACTCTTAGCCGGAACAACATGACCTTTAACTACACGGACAAACAAACCACAGCCCTCAGCGTCTACACCATCAGCCCCAACACAACAGTCGCTGCTGATTCTATCAGCATATCAGTGGACAATACTCTGACTCTATGCGAGGTGGAGATTTATGGAGGTATGTTATCGATCATGACATAATCTAGCAGCTTTAAGTATGTACTGATTATACGATGTTCTCATGCAAGTCTATGTTTTTGGAAATCTATCGTTTTAGGTACGTAAAATCGCCCGCGACTAGTAATGTGAAAAACAGGTGACTCCTTACATTTTTATAATTATTTCACATTTTGAGGAGGATTTATGTTTTGAAAAATACAAAAATGTTTCCTTGTTTCATTTATGTACCTGTTTTTAAACAATTGAATTAAAACTTTTCAGTAATAAATGAACACCAGCGATGTTTCCAACAGATGCAACCATGCTCATTTACTATAGCAGCCATCTTGTTAAAGTTTTATTTTTATAGACTTAAAGCGCGAGATTCAGGCGGAAGTCACTCTATTTTACAAATGGCTGCTGTTTATATATCAAATCTTGCTTGCAGACACAGCTGTTTAAAGTTAATTTCTGGCCTATATTGATATATTTAGCCATTGATTTAGGTTTATTATTCACTAGGCATACTGCCTAGCTTCGCTTAGGTTTTTAAAAGGCATTTGAGAATTTGAATACTTAATTATTTAGCGATGGATTGGGTGTGGAGTGCTTTAATAAGTTTAATAAGTTTAATTTAAACAGTAATTCTAACTTTAGAAAAAATGTTTTTGTTAGTCATTTACATGCAGATCCGTAGCGAATTTTTGGAAAGTACGCAATGTATAACTAAAATGGAATTAGAACTACACAGGTTTCATGAACAGTATATCTCATAGTTTATATTACATTGCCTTTTGAAATTAATTAATTAATTTAATTAACATACTTAACTGAATTAACAACTTAATTTTGTACTAAAACAAATGCTATACTTCGTCATTTTCTGTTTCTGTTTAAAATAGTATACAATTATTTGAAAAATAATAATTTTAAAAACGTTACCTCCCTTGAAAACTGAACGTATGACGTATGTCATTGTTTACTTATATTGTTTGCTTATATAAGAAATTACGTTATATGAACTTATTTAACGACTATAATGGCTGTTTCCGACGGGAATAAAGTTTTTTTGTTACCCTCCATGGTCGGTCTACGACGTCACATAATATTAAGGGGATCGTTCGTCAATTTATTTATATATATATATATATATATATATATATATATATATATATATATATATATATATATATATATATATATATATATATATATATCTCATATAAGGAGAATTTCACTCAAGATCATCTTTTAGCCCTCGTCGAGGGCTTTGAGTTTCACCAACAGTTTTTCCATACGGCCTAGTCATCTATAGTAGTGTATGCAAAAACTTAGCATGATGTACAGACATTAAGTAACCTAAAAATTGTGTTAAAATTTCCCTGTTTTTCCCATAAAATACAAAGATTATATAGGGAAATACAACTGGTCAGTTTTGACCGCTTTCCGAAGTTTTCCCAGATATGCCGAGTTTTTTGTGACACTCCTAGGTGTTCTTCTACCACCTCACAAAATATCAAGGGGGGTCGTCGGAGGAAAATTTTTTTCGTAATAGAGCTCACATAACGAGAATTTCACTCGCGGTCACTTTTTAGCCCTCTTCGAGGGCTTTGAGTGTAACCGACAGTTTTCCCTAAAGGTCAAGCCATTGACCTAGGAGCATGCAAAAAATTAGCCAGATATACTGAGATTAAGTACCCTAAAGTCTGCGTTGAAATGACCCTCTGTTTTTCCCATAAAATACAAAGATTATATAGGGAAATACAACTGGTCAGTTTTGACCCCTTTACGAAGTTTTCCCAGATATGCCGAGTTTTTTGTGACACCCTAAGGCGTTCTCCTACCACCTCACAAAATATCAAGGGGGGTCGTCGGAGGAAATTTTTTTTCGTAATAGAGCTCATATTAAGAGAATTTCACTCGCGGTCACTTTTTAGCCCTCGTCGAGGGCTTTGAGTGAGACCGACAGGTCTGCCCTACGGACAAGCCATTTTCCTATAAACATGCCAAAAATTAGCCAGATGTAAAGAGGGTAAGTGCCCTAAAATCCGTTTTGAAATGACCCTCCGTTTTTCCCATAAAATACAAAGATTATATAGGGAAATACGACTGGTCAGTTTTGACCCATTTCCCGATTTTTCCCGGACATGGCGAGTTTTTTGTGACTCCCCAAGGCGTTCTCCTACCACCTCACAAAATAATAAGGGGGGTCGTCGGAGGAAATTTTTTTTCGTAATAGAGCTAATATAAAGAGAATTTCACTCGCGGTCACTTTTTAGCCCTCGTCGAGGGCTTTGAGTAAGACCGACAGGTCTGCTTTACGGTCAAGCCATTTACCTATAAACATGCCAAAAATTAGCCAGATGTAAACAGGGTAAGTGCCCTAAAATCCGTTTTGAAATGACCCTCCGTTTTTCCCATAAAATACATAGATTATATAGGGAAATACGACTGGTCAGTTTTGACCCATTTCCCGATTTTTCCCGGACATGGCGAGTTTTTTGTGACACCCCAAGGTGTTCTCCTACCACCTCACAAAATTTCAAGGGGGGTCGTCGGAGGAAATTTTTTTTCGTAATAGAGCTCATATAAAGAGAATTTCACTCGCGGTCACTTTTTAGCCCTCGTCGAGTGCTTTGAGTCAAACCGACAGGTCCGCCCTACGGCCAAGCCATTTACCTATAAGCATGCCAAAACTTAGCCAGATGTAAATAGGGTAAGTGCCCTAAAATCCGTTTTGAAATGACCCTCTGTTTTCCCCATAAAATACAAAGATTATATAGGCAAATACGACTGGTCAGTTTTGACCCATTTCCCGATTTTTCCCGGACATGGCGAGTTTTTTGTGACACCCCAAGGCGTTCTCCTACCACCTCACAAAATATCAAGGGGGGTCGTCGGAGGAAATTTTTTTTCGTAATAGAGCTCATATAAAGAGAATTTCACTCGCGGTCACTTTTTAGCCCTCGTCGAGGGCTTTGAGTAAGACCGACAGGTCAGCCCTACGGTCAAGCCATTTACCTATAAACATGTCAAAAATTAGCCAGATGTAAACAGGGTAAGTGCCCTAAAATCCGTTTTGAAATGACCCTCTGTTTTTCCCATAAAATACAAAGATTATATAGGGAAATACGACTGGTCAGTTTTGACCAATTTCCCGAATTTTCCCGGACATGGCGAGTTTTTTGTGACACCCCAAGGTGTTCTCCTACCACATCACAAAATTTCAAGGGGGGTCGTCGGAGGAAATTTTTTTTCGTAATATAGCCCATATAAGGCGCCGGTCAGTCGAGGTCAGTTTTGACCCCTTCTCCGTAGACTTTTCGGCCAACCGTCACCGGCCTTCGTGTTATATCGCCCGAATGCACCATCGTGCCAAATTTGACGCGCCTGCGGCGCCGGGAAGTGCCCTATCGGGCACTTGACCACTTTGCTTTATATATATAGATTTATCTATAATATTTGACACAAACATATCACAATATACTTCTATTACAGCCTTGACAATGAGGTAACGTTTTCGTACATTAATAGCCGCGGGCGATTTTACGTACCCAAAACGATAGATTACCATGTTTTTTATACCCACGTTTACCATCGCACAGATAACACATGTGATAATAAAAAATTTGGAATGAACTGCAGTAAATGTCGGTGCAATGATACGAATGAAATATGTTTTCCTACAACCGGAAGTTGTTTGTCTGGATGCGCATCTGGGTATTTCGGTGATGGCTGTCAACAAGGTACCGCTCTATAAAGTTTAGGCAATTTTACTACTGATTGTTTAATATTAATATCGAATCAATCGATAAAATAGAAGATACAATTTTAATGAATTTAAGTTTTAATTTTATAAAAAGATAAATCTAGTTTATCATTTTATTTTAACAAACACAATGCTACACCAGGGCAACTGACATAATTCGGCAGTTATGGCTAAAATGATTTCATTAAAAATAGATGACTAAACAAAACCAAAATTGTAGCTTCAGTAGCACAAAGCAGATGATAAAGGCTTGAATAGATGTACAATTAGTAAGTCCATTATACATGTATACATTGTTTAATATAAAAATACATCCATTACAGTGTGTGCACCAGGTAGTTATGGATTACAATGTAAGCAGACCTGTGGATACTGTGCAGACATCGTATGTAATCCTGATAATGGAGTCTGCCCTAAAGGATGTGTAGATGGATACACGGGGCCGCAGTGTAATCAAAGTAGGTGACACTTTGTTTCTTTGAACTCAACACAGAGACAGTAGACCTAACTATAGCCTTTACTACCGTATGTGTGCATTCAAGGTTACTACTACTACACCTACAGCTATTATTTTTCACATTATACATATATATATATATATATATATATATATATATATATATATATATATATATATATATATATATATATATATATATATATATAATACACTCTCACTATGTTCTCCTAGTATGTAACAAAGATCACTACGGCCCCAACTGTGGCTTCAACTGCTCCACGCGCTGTCTCAACTCAACGTGTGATAGATACAAAGGCCAGTGTATTAGCTGTGTCCCCGGGTTTTACGGCGAGTACTGTAATTCACGTGAGTGATGCTATGTGCTTTGGTTACCTGTGTGGTTGAATATAGAATTTATAATGGTAAAATGACGATACACTATTTGTTTAGCTGCGATGTTGTGTGAGATGATTGTGAAATTAAATGCAGTCCAACAAATATGTGTATGTTTATATAATAAACTAGCATTATTACTTAGGCTTTGCACATTGTTTCAATAACGTCATTTCTTAAGTTTCAAACTATGTGGGAATAATGTAATTTTACCTTGAAAGACTTAACAAAAATTCGTTTGAATTTGCATTTATACCAAACTGGGTATGTGTTAGAATCAACTAACGTTCAAAAGCTGAGGTATCACTGAGGTATCACTGAGGTATCACTGAGGTATCACTGAGGTATCACTGAGGTATCACTGAGGTATCACTGAGGTATCACTGAGGTATCACTGAGGTATCACTGAGGTATCACTGAGGTATCACTGAGGTATCACTGAGGTATCACTGAGGTATCACTGAGGTATCACTGAGGTATCACTGAGGTATCACTGAGGTATCACTGAGGTATCACTGAGGTATCACTGAGGTATCACTGAGGTATCACTGAGGTATCACTGAGGTATCACTGAGGTATCACTGAGGTATCACTGAGGTATCACTGAGGTATCACTGAGGTATCACTGAGGTATCACTGAGGTATCACTGAGGTATCACTGAGGTATCACTGAGGTATCACTGAGGTATCACTGAGGTATCACTGAGGTATCACTGAGGTATCACTGAGGTATCACTGAGGTATCACTGAGGTATCACTGAGGTATCACTGAGGTATCACTGAGGTATCACTGAGGTATCACTGAGGTATCACTGAGGTATCACTGAGGTATCACTGAGGTATCACTGAGGTATCACTGAGGTATCACTGAGGTATCACTGAGGTATCACTGAGGTATCACTGAGGTATCACTGAGGTATCACTGAGGTATCACTGAGGTATCACTGAGGTATCACTGAGGTATCACTGAGGTATCACTGAGGTATCACTGAGGTATCACTGAGGTATCACTGAGGTATCACTGAGGTATCACTGAGGTATCACTGAGGTATCACTGAGGTATCACTGAGGTATCACTGAGGTATCACTGAGGTATCACTGAGGTATCACTGAGGTATCACTGAGGTATCACTGAGGTATCACTGAGGTATCACTGAGGTATCATCGTGGTATCACTGAGGTATCACTGATGTATCACTGAGGTATCACTGATGTATCACTGAAGTATTACTGAGGTATCACTGAGGTATCACTGAGGTATTACTGAGGTATACTTTTACATCCCCATATGAAACAGCTTGTGAGAATCATTTCTACGGGCCAAACTGTACAAAGATCTGTTCCCCAAGCTGTGAGCGATCTGAATGTAACGCTACAAACGGTTTTTGCTTTCATTGTCCCGATGGCTATATTGGAGACTTCTGTGATCATGGTAGGTTATACGCATACTTAATCCTGTCTTAGATACAGTTAATGTCTTTATTTAGGAAAAAAGTATAATTATTATTGAAAACATCTGTTCAAACGCAGAGTTTCTTCCAGGCATCTCATCGGGGGGAGTTGTGGGGGGAGCCAACGCCCCCCCCCCCACCGAAAATTTCAAGTGCACCCCCCGGTGAAAAAATTCTGGAAGAAACACTGTTCAAACGTATTCTCTAACAAGAAAAGTCTTGTCATTATAGTATGTCCAGAATTGCAATACGGCGATGGGTGTCTGAAGAACTGCTCCGTAAACTGTGGAGAAAACGGAACGTGTGATTTCATAACAGGGGAGTGTACGGATGGATGCAAGCCTGGGTACCGAGGCAGTGACTGCTCGTTGTGTAAGTAGGGTGTAGTATTTCCCTAGATTTAAGGTCAGCTGATGCGTATAGTATGGCACTGAGCTGTGATTATATTTATATGATTATATAAATGTATTCGATGCCATCCAACAAACCCCCTACCCCGAAACGTTATACTATACACTAAAAAAACTTTGGCATATTAGCAAAGTATTTACATTTTACGGAGGATTCCATCATTATTGAGATATATTTGGTTAGCTTTTCACTATGGAATTAATTTTTAAGCATGTTATGTCAAAATAAAAATAAAAATCTAAAATCAAAAACAACTATGTATGATATTTTTTGTTTAATAGAAAACCCTTCAATGTAATATTTTCTTACATAACATTAATGCAAAGTCGGTAATGATGACAGAAAACAATTTTAGCACATCTTTTACAGATCATCAGCATTTATTTATTTAAAATAAATGCATATCCTTGAACATTTAGTTAATAATTTTTAATTAATGCTGACTCAGATAATACAAAGCCATAAGTACATTTGTACCATTAGTTGATTTACTTTATAAAACATTTTTTAAACATGCTTGTAGATTGTGAGGAAGGATTGTACGGCGCGAAGTGCTCTACAAAGTGCAACAACAATTGTTTAGACGGCAGCTGTCATTACGTCACGGGCAGATGTTTCGGATGCTTGCCTGGGTTTGAGGGACACACGTGTGAGCGAGGTATGACGTCTTGCAAGGATTGTCCATTGTATCACACACATATTGCATATTTTACACGTGACTTGCATGTGTAAGTAAGGCTTACCTGTGTGTAGGGAAGGCTCACTTTTGTGGGAATAGTTTACTGTGTGGGAATAGTTTACTGTATGGGAATAGTTTACCCGTGTAAGAATAGTTTACTATGTGGGAATAGTTTACTGTGTGGGAATAGTTTACTGTATGGGAATAGTTTACCTGTGTGGGAATAGTTTACCTGTGTGGGAATAGTTTACCTGTGTGGGAATAGTTTACCTGTATGGGAATAGTTTACTGTGTGGGAATATTTTACCTGTGTGGGAATGGTTTACTTGTATGGGAATAGTTTACTGTGTGGGAATATTTTACCTGTGTGGGAATGGTTTACTTGTATGGGAATAGTTTACTGTGTGGGAATATTTTACCTGTGTGGGAATGGTTTACTTGTGTGGAAATAGTTTACTGTGTGGGAATAGTTTACCTAGGTGGGTATAGTTTACCTGTGTGGGAATAGTTTACCTGAGTGGGAATAGTTTACCAGTGTGGGAATAGTTTACCTGTGTGGGAATAGTTTACCTGTTTGGGAATAGTTTACCTGTGTGGGAAAAGTTTACCTGAGTGGGAATAGTTTACCAGTGTGGGAATAGTTTACCTGTGTGGGAATAGTTTACCTGAGTGGGAATAGTTTACCTGTGTGGGAAAAGTTTACCTGTGTGGGAATAGTTTACCTATGTGGGAATAGTTTACCTGTGTGGGAATAGTTTACCTGTGTGGGAATAGTTTACCTGTGTGGGAATAGTTCGCCTATGTGAGAAAGGCTCACCTGTGTGGGAATAATTTACCTGTGTGGGAATGGTTTACCTGTGTGGGAATAGTTTACCTGTGTGGGAATGGTTTACCTGTGTGGGAATAGTTTACCTGTGAGGGAGTAGTTTATCTGTGTGGGAATAGTTTACTTGTGTGAGGGGGGGCTCACCTGTGTGGTAAGGGTTCGCGTGTGTTGTTATGGTTTACCTGTGTGTTAAGGGTTCGCTTGTGTGGTAGTGGTTTACCTGTGTGAGAAAGGCTTACCTGTGTGGGAATAGTTCGCCTGTGTGGTAAGGGTTCGCTTGTGTGGTAATGGTTTACCTGTGTGAGAAAGGCTTACCTGTGTAGGGCAGGCTTAAGTCTCACATTAATTGTGCAAATAACACAATGTATTAATTATCTCGTTTGCCAATGTAATGACCTACATTTATGTTTCCTTGTTCAACACATCAAACAAAACTTTTCGAAGCGACCAAATCTCCAATTGATTAACTTTTTTTTATTGAGGCCCAAGTTATAACGTTGTGACTTAGGTATAATGTATTTTATACCAGTTATAGTCACACACAAAACGTTTTGATTTATTTTCAGTAATGAAACCAATGTCCGACAACTTGGGCAGGGGTTTTGGTATTGGATTCGGTGTGGCCTGTCTGATACTGATTGTCCTTCTTGTGGTAGCAGTTGTGGTGTTAGTGCGCATGGGCAGACTTGACCTGTCGACCCTGTTCCATAAAAAGTCGGATGACGTCAAACTTGACAGCATCCACAAAGGTTACTAAATCGAATTCGTTCACCAAGCTGGTGTATTTAAGTATGCCATTTGCAATAAATAGACGTGACGTTATAAATAATGTTATATATATATATATATATATATATATATATATATATATTATTGGCCTATATGCCTAATATACATTATATATAACAATATGTGACAAAAATTTGCTTGCATAATTAGTTAAAACAATTTTATAAAAACTTTATTTTAAGGTGAAGTTAAACTGAACAGCAACAACGATAAAGGAGCATCATCATCTTACGAGCTAAAAAATGCTTACTCAGAAGATAGTGATTATGATATTACTCAGTGACCACTTCACACACACACACAATTTAACACACACATGTACATGTATACATATATATATATATATATATATATATATATATATATATATATTGTGTACATATTTTTATGTATCTATATTCGATTTTCTTTAAAGGACATTGAATGGATGCACTTGTGGTTTTTGTTTTTCTGATATCGTTTTGTTACAATTTTAAAAAGCTCTTGTCTTGTACTCCTCATTTAGTAATATTTCATAACTTAAAATACAGTTGTGTTATGGGTACGTGCGTCTATTTTTTTTCTCAAAATTGTATTTTAAAATTTTTTCTTTGTTTTTTAATTTGTAATTCGAAAATATTATTACATTCATTAATTAGAAATGACTAAATCAATGCTTTAAATAAGTCTATATGTGCTTAGTACAGAAATAAGGCAGTTGATTGTTTTACCACACAAGGCAATTATAGACCAGCTTTTTTTTATAAAAAAAAAACATGATAGGTATACAAAGAATGTATGTATGGACCCGCGAATGTAACCTGAAATGTTTAAGTTACAAACTTTAATTTTATTACCATACTATAATATGCATTGATTATATATGTCAATTGTATTGTAAAATAGTGGAAAACAGTAGACACAGAAACATAGTAAAGTACCCTGTCGAATCTGACTTGTCATTGGCAGATAAAGTGTCATGGTCAGATAAAGTGTCATGGTCAGATAAAGTGTCATGGTCAGATAAAGTGTCATGGTCAGATAAAGTGTCATGGTTAGATAAAGTGTCATGGTCAGCAAAAGTGTCATGGTCAGATAAAGTGTCATGGTTAGATAAAGTGTCATGGTCAGATAAAGTGTCATGGTCAGATAAAGTGTCATGGTTAGATAAAGTGTCATGGTCAGCAAAAGTATCATGGTCAGATAAAGTGTCATGGTTAGATAAAGTGTCATGGTTAGATAAAGTATAATGGTCAGATAAAGTGTCATGGTCAGATAAAGTAAACGATCACATGAAGGGATTGTGTGGTCAACATTCAACATGTGTGAAAATGTGTATGGTTGCCTTATTAATTTGGGTGTTGGAGTGTTCTAAATGGCTTTAAGCTATCGTAATACAAGTATAGCTATTTGTTATCGAGTTATTTAAATTTGTGTAGATTAATCTAATAACAAAAATAGTTTTTATTTAACCTGATCTCTTTTTGTTTCTTTTCTCTTATTGGTTTATTCATAAAAACTACATGATTGTATCAATTTAAACTCCAGATTATGTAAGACAATTTTTTAAAACATTGACAACGTTTTTGGTTTTTTAAAATAGACTGCATCTCAAGTGTTTAGCTAGGTAAGCTTGGATAATATAATGATTAGATAGTGGTGATGGATTTCAAGGTAAGCTTGGATAATATAATGATTAGATGGTGGTGATGGATTTGCATTAAATAATCCAATAAATCTTAACAATATTTTGAAAACCACATGCCACTTTGCATGAAATGCCTTAATTTGTTACATGTACAATTTCTCACGTAAAATATACTAAATACGAGAAAAATGGCCCGTTGAGGAAGGATACACCGGGCGCTAGGTTGATAGTGCTGTCTCTTTTCTCTAAACTAAAACCAACTCACCCCCCACACACACCACCCCCCACCCCCACCACTCCCACCCCCACCCACTCCACACACCCCCCCCCACCCCCACCCACCCCCACCCCCCCCACCCCCACCCCCACCCCCCAAAAAAACATGTCTACCGTCCCATTCAAAGAAATATAATTATATACTTTTTCCAGTGTCCGCCCCCTCCCCGAAAATTCTACCCCCGCCACCGAAAATTTCAAGTACCCCCACCCCTCTCCGGGGAGGAAAAAGTCTGAAAGAAACACTGGTGTCGCGCTTAGCCACTACGCGAAGAATTGCATTAAAGAAATTGCGAGAAAACCACTTTTTAGATTAGACACATTAATTAGGCGGTAATTTTATTATAGAGTATCGATGAGGAAACCACCCCACCCCCCCCCCACATCCCACCCCCCACACACACCACCCCCCCCCACTCCCTACCCCCCACCCCCCACTCCCAAAAAAATCATGTCTACCGTCCCATTCAACGAAATATAATTATATACTTTTTCCAGTGTCCGCCCCCCTTCCCGAAAATTCTACCCCCGCCCCCGAAAATTTCAATTACCCCCACCCCTCTCCCGGGAGGAAAAAGTCTGAAAGAAACACTAGTGTCGCGCTTAGCCACTACCCGAAGAATTGCATTAAAGAAATTGCAAGAAAACCACTTTTTAGATTAGACACATTAATTAGGCGGTAATTTTATTATAGAGTATCGATGAAGAAATTTCTTTTGAGTTGGGGAGGGGGGGGGGGCTCAGACGTTCTTACGCGTGGGGTGGGGCTTCGCCCCTACCCGAAGAATTGTATGCAAGAAACTCTTCACGCAAACCATTTAGATTAGACAACATTTCCTTTTTATTCAATGTTTACGCGATAATCAATGACGTCATTATATTACTGTGTGCACTTTCCGCCTTGAGATTATTTTCTACTCTGTGCTAAATGTGTCGACGTCATACTTCGTTTTTCGAATTACTATGCAGGTTTTTATTTTGCTTGTGTTTTCTCTAGAGCGTTCTTGTCAGATAGAATTTTTGCTTATGTTTTCTCTAGAGCGTTCTTGTCAGACAGATAGATAGATAGATAGATACACAGACAGCGAAACTATTATTATAGATTAATGCTGAAGCGTCATAGCAAACTTAGTAGCGATTTTAAGAAAACGGCTTTTCACCAATAAATCATGGATTTGTATTATCAAAATTTACGTTTAAAAAAAAACCGACAGGTGTATGCATTTCCATGCTGTACGTTAAGTCTACGTCACTGTGTTAAAGAGACTGACTACGCACAGTATTTTAACAAAGGTCATATGATCCCGCAACTTCTATTGGATTCGGACAGTCAGAGCTACGCCCATACAACATACATTATATCTGGACGTAGTGTTTTCAACAATATTTAGGAAGACGAATTCACAAACTATTGTTACACAAACACAGATTTTGAAAGCGATAATCCTTTTTTTTTTTTAAACTTCAAATTACAAACGATTTCATTAACACCGTTTTAAGAAAACAGTAGAGCAAATAGTAGAGGTAATAGTAGAGGCGACAGTAGAGGCAATAGTTGAGGCAATAGTAGAGTCAATAGTAGAGGCAACAGTAGAGGCAACCGTAGAGGTAATAGTAGAGGCGACAGTAGAGGCAATAGTAGAGGCGACAGTAGAGGCGACAGTAGAGGCAATAGTAGAGGCGACAGTAGAGGCAATAGTAGAGGCGACAGTAGAGGCGACAGTAGAGGCAATAGTAGAGGCGACAGTAGAGGCAATAGTAGAGGCGACAGTAGAGGCGACAGTAGAGACAATAGTAGAGGCGACAGTAGAGGCAATAGTAGAGGCGACAGTAGAGCAAATAGTAGAGGCGACAGTAGAGGCAATAGTAGAGGCGACAGTAGAAGCAATAGTAGAGGCAATAGTAGAGGCGACAGTAGAGGCGACAGTAGAGGCGACAGTAGAGGCGACAGTAGAGCAAATAGTAGAGGCGACAGTAGAGGCAATAGTAGAGGCGACAGTAGAGGCGACAGTAGAGGCAATAGTAGAGGTAATAGTAGAAGTAATAGTAGAGGTGATAGTAGAGGTAATAGTAGAGGTAATAGTAGAGGTAATAGTAGAGGTAATAGTAGAGGTAATAGTAGAGGTAATAGTAGAGGTAATAGTAGAGGCGACAGTAGAGGTAATAGTAGAGGTAATAGTAGAGGTAATAGTATAGGTGATAGTAGAGGTAATAGTAGAGGTGATAGTAGAGGTAATAGTAGAGGCAATAGTAGAGGCAACAGTAGAGGCAACATTAGAGGCGACAGTAGAGGCAACAGTAAATAAAAGTTCGTCTCTCCTTTGGACCTCAACATGTATAGGCACTGTGTCGTCAAGTGAAAGGTGCCACAAGTAATCAACAGAAAACGCTCTATATTTTCTTACTCAAACAAATTGTCTATAAATATAGGACTGTGGTTTTCAAAGATTCAGTTGATCAATGCTTTTATTTTATTTTTAAGAATATTGCTTTAATGCTCCTTTTTTAACTTAATTATTATAATTATCGCTGGTATCAAGGAATTTAGTAAAAAATTTTTTTTTCAAAATCCGGACATTAAATTTTAAATAAAAAAAACAAAGGGAAGCAACCTAAAACTTGCTATCATAAGCAACAGCTGCCACCGGATTATATTTCAAACACTGTCTGGTTACCTTCGGACAATATTCATTATTTCCCTTTAGCTGAGTGACAAATCGATGAAATAAATTAATCAATAAATGTTTGTGTATACGTGTCTGATACATATGGATTGTATTGGGTTCTAAACTGTGTGTATATACATGTCTGATACATAAGTATTGCATTGGGTTCTAATCTTAAAAGACAAATGAGTAGCCTTTACAAGTGCGACGAAAAACATTTTACTTAATTTGTTTTATTAGATTTACATTTGAGCAAAATTTTTATGATACAGTAGCTTTTAGAAAACGAAGGTTTAATAAAATTAAATGTAATTGGCGACCTTTTATTGTGATAGAATCGTCTTTTGTTGAAACATCTATATATATGTTACGGTCAAAGCCCGAAGTGTGGCCAAAGTGCGGATTGGCCGGCCAATCCGCGCATTGGCCGGCTCTCTTGGCCAAAGCCCGAAGAACTTAGCAATAAGATCGTATTTCGTACATTGGCCGGCCAATGCGCGCACTGGCCGGGACGTACTGGCCAAAGTCCGAAGCGCTTAAACTTGACAGCGTATTTTGTACATTGGCCGGCCAATGCGCGCACTGGCCGGGACGTACTGGCCAAAGTCCGAAGCGCTTAAACTTGACAGCGTATTTTGTACATTGGCCGGCCAATGCGCGCACTGGCCGGTATGTCCTGGCCAATGTTCTATCTAGACTAAGTTGTGATCGCATTTTCATTATTCTGGGTGCGTTTTCATTGAGAGTAACGTATTGTTTAGCTCTTGTTTGTATAGCATTCTATATGCATGGCGACATGGATCAAAAGGGCCGTCAGACCATGAGACAGACATAACAGATGGCTGTCAAAAGAAAAAATGTAAATCCATGTTAGTTTCCATATATGGGCTCTCAATAAAATAGTTACTGAGGAAGATCTTGAGAACATTGAACAAGAAATGGAGGTTGCCATAAATGCAACGACATCCTCAGCTAACACATCTACTGCCGTGGCGGAACGCCCAGACCAGTTGCGTGACAATAATGTGGCCAACAGATTGTATATAGTTTGTGAAAAACATTGTAGTGCAGCTCATTCTTTTGGATCATGTGGCAACGATGTCCATGCTATTTGTGGAATACCCAATGAAGCAGACGAAGGGTACGGAGGGAACATTACCTGCAGATTGTGTCACAACAAACAAGACATCATGGAACACAGGTCAGCAGCTCATACTGGGTTGCAAACTCAAGGTGCTAAGATGCTTAAAACATCAAATACAAAATTTAAAGATGGTGAAGTGGGTGACAATGTACGCATCCGTGTTCCAGATGTTGACAGAGGTCATGAGCGTCGAGGGCGGTTTCTACAAATTAGGAACGGCACATGGTGTTCTAAAACAACTGTATGCTAAAAGTGAGTTTTCAATTCTTCACGAAAAACTGCTCTTATTGTCGTCAGTTGGCACTGAGGAAAAATCACTACGAACTATCGCATCTTCACAATCATTGACTGGGGGCCAAGGTTACACTCGCTGCAATTGCACAACTAAGTGTACAACAAATCGCTGCAAGTGTAAAAATAACAAGCTGCTATGTAATTCTAAATGCCATAAAAGTTCAACTTGTTGTAACAAATGATGATATTGATAGATTGAGACCATAGTACAATAAAAAATTTGAATGTTTCTGTCATTAACTTTAATTAATAATCAATAAAGACTTAATTTCATGATCCTTACGGCGTAAAAAAAAACCAAAATCTGCTCATGATCTTCTAATTCGAACTTTGGCCGGTCGTACCCAGCCAGATGATCTTCTAATTAAGACTTTGGCCGGTCCACCATGGCCAGTCCGCTGACTGGCCGGCCAATGGCCGAAATCAAGAGCTATTTCAGACTTTGGCCGGTCCACCATGGCCAGTCTGCGGATTGGCCGGCCATAGGCCGAAATCAAGCAAAGTTTCGGACTTTGACCGACCTATGGGAGGCGATATTGGCCAATGCGCGGATTGGCCGGCCAATCCTAGCATTGGCCGACTTCGGGCTTTGACCGTAACATATATATAATTCTCTTCTGGGAGACGCTAGAAAACAAGCTGTAAGCGCGCTCCCTACCACCCCTACCCCTACATGGTCTGGTGGGCTGTGGTTCACGCTAAATGTTTACAAACAGAGCCGGGTTTAATGACGACTATTAATGGGCAGATAATTTAGTTTGAAACAATTTTAAACTTATGGGAGGTAACTAAGAGGAGGCCGCTTTCACAAGGAGGTGGTCTAGGGTAGGGGTTGGGGGAAGGGAGGGTGGGGGTAGTATCGTCCTCAACTACCTACTAATAGTGTTTTAAAGCAAATGTTTTCAGTGGCAGCATTGGTACTGTCGAATTCACAAATTATGAATGACTGAAAAGTAGATTTTTTTTTTTTTATTGAAAAGTAGAAAATAAAATAACTAAATAGCGGCGTATGATACGCCGCAGGTCGGCTCGTTAGTTATATTGCATTAAAATAAAATCGTATTTGTGGCAAGAATCGTTTAGAAAGGACGAAAATAAACAAAAAAATAATTAAATTAGAAATGTTTTTCAACCTTATTATAAATAAACTTCAAGCTGCCTTGCAGTGGCGGAACTAGAAAATAAAGGCTCCCCCGCAAAAAAAATTTGGGCCCCCTATATGTAAGTATATATATATATATATATATATATATATATATATATATATATATATATATATATATATATATATATATATATATATATATACATATACATAAGTAGCCTGCTTCTCTAATTTTTAAATAGTCTATTACCTGAGTATTTTAATCTATTTTATTGCAATGTATAACCACTCTGAGATAACGAACCGGACAAAAATAAGTCCGAACTCATTTCGGGCCAGCAATAATCGTGTTTTATAAATGTTTGTATTACAATTTTTTTTTTTTGGCCTCAGACATTTAATTTACAGCGTCAGTTGTGTGTGTTCGCTTTAGTATTACAGTTTTCATCACCGGCTTGTGAGGACTGATACAGATTTACAATAGTAATATTTCTGTTTGTATTACAATTATATTAGAAAAAGGAAAAAAAAAGGGTGCGCGGACCTTTGACCACAGGTGCTTTGACCATAGGTGCTTTGACCATAGGGGGTTTGACCACAGCGGAGCTTTGACCATAGGGGCCTTGACCATAGGGGGTTTGACCACAGCGGGCCTTTGACCATAGCGGTGCTTTGACCATGGGGTGTTTGATCATAGTGGGTTTGACCACAGGTGTTTTCTCAGCAAGGGGGTCTTTGATCACAAGCGCTGTGTCCTAGGTGGTCAAAACTATATAAACACGTAAGCTTGATTTGTGCAATGGTTTCTCGCGTTATGTTTATTTTTATGATTTTTTGTATTAATATTATTAGTTTTGAATACATTCATTTTTATAGCTATAGGATTCTTTAGCATACCTTATTTAAATAATAATTAAGAGAGTAAATTGCTTTTTAATTTACAAAGTACAAAACTATTCAAATGAGCTTTATGAGCACCCGTGTATTAATGAAGGGCAGTAAGTCATGGAAGTAGTCTGAAAGTTTGCCTATCTTTCAAAGTACAGCTCTTGTAGATTTTATATTTTTCTACGCAACAGTGTGTGTTAGTTACTGTAGAACAATCACTGCTATAGTAGACCTGTTTTTTCTTTTTTTTTTTTTACAAAACCACTATCAAGGTGCACGAAAAACATTACTTATGAAAAGAAAAATAATTGTTTTTTTTGTCGGAATTGGGCCCCTAAACGTCGTGCCCCCCCCCCACCCCCCCCCCCCCCCCCCCCACATTGCGGGGTCTGGCGGCACTGTAGTTCCGCCCCTGCTGCCTTGTGTTAAAAGCTCAAGCTATTCACAAGTTAGACCGTGCACTAGCCTATCGTCTGCATCCCCGTCCGATGACCTAATTTGCCTGTCTATATAAAGCAAGGTAGCCTCCTGTCGGCCACATACCGTGTTGTCTTATAACAACCTGTGACCAGCTAGAAGAAACATGCGCTGTGCTATTGTTTACCTTGCAATTACCGCTTGTTTAGTTTTGACTTGCATTAGATCGTGCAATGCAGGTAGGCTTGTTATGTTAACATTTCCAAGTGTTTAATTAAAAGTTAAGCAATGTAATGTAATGTAATGTAATGTAATGTAATGTAATGTAATGTAATGTAATGTAATGTAATGTAATGTAATGTAATGTAATGCAATGCAATGTAATGTAATGTAATGTAATGTAATGTAATGTAATGTAATGTAATGTAATGTAATGTAATGTAATGTAATGTAATGTAATGTAATGTAATGTAATGTAATGTAATGTAATGTAATGTAAAGGTGTTGTGATGTGTTTTGATGTGTTTTGAAGTGTTTTGATGTGATCAGTGGCGGATTAAGAGGGGTGCTGAGGGGGCTGCAGCCAGGGGGGCCCAATTTTTAGGGGCCCCCAAATTTCCTTTTTCAATCATAGTAAATTTCCCTTTAAAGTGAAATCTTTGGGTTTTTTTTTGTTTTTTTTTTTTGTTTTTTTTACTATAAAAGCCAATGTTTTAATATCTGAATGACAAGTTTATTTCAAATTTTGATCAAAATATCAAACTCGAGCACACACTTCAGTATAAATACCCG